CGTTGTCCGAAAGTGAGGTATGGCTGGTTGGGATCCTTCCTGCCAGGGATCTTGGTGTGCTTGTCCCATTCCGAGTGGCCATCGGCATGCTTGTGCTTCTCGAGATCGATATCGTCCATCTGGGGTGGCGACTGAGGAGGTTGGTCCCTGAAAGGGTTCTCTGGCTCTGGCTGCCTCTCCTTCGTGTCGATGCGGTATCCATTAGCATCAACCGGACCGGGAAAGTAGCCTCCTCCATTAGATGCGTACATAGGCGCAGGTGTTGCTGCTGGTGAGTTGGCTGCCCATGTGTTGGTGCGAGTAGTCTCGCCGGACTCAAAGGAGAACTGGTTCTGTTGTGCGACCTGAGGTTGCGGCTGGTACTGATTTGGCTGTAGCTGTTGTTGCTCGGGTGTTTGTTGTTGCTGTTGAGGGTTTGACAGGCGGGAGTAGTTGTTCACATCCCGACTTGATTGAGGAGAATGTTGACGGGGTCCAGAAGGTAGACCATACTGTCCTTGCTGCTGAGGAGTTTGCATACGAGGTCCGGAAGGCAGACCGCCGTACTGCTGGCTCATATGCTGAGGCTGAGGTGGAGGTGCATATTGAGGTTGCTGCTGGTTTGGTGGGAGAGGGAATTGACCGTTGTTCTCGAAATTAGGGCTGAAGGTGTCTTTTGGGCCAAAGGACAAGCCTTCTGGTTGGTAGCGAGTATCCATTGCTGAAATGATAGAATAGGTGTCCTGCACCGTAGAGACTAAAAGACGGAAGAGACGGCAAATAAAGGAAAGAAACCAAAGAAACTATGACCACAAAACGCGCAATAGGGACAAGTATTGACCTGCACGGGGCAATTTGATAGAAACCCGAGAGGCGATGCTCGGGAATAGACCAGTGTATTAACACGCGCCGAGCGGGATCAGCATGGGTCAGCCTCTCTAGTATCGGTCCTGTTTCGAACTGCGTGCCAATCTAGCGCAAATACCTCTGGCAGCTAGTCAATGAGGCTCCACGGAGTCATGGTGGGATCTCAGAGTGCTTGGCGAGGACGAAGTGTTGCGTACATCCTCCTGGTATCCACATCAAAGCGTCGAATAAGCTCCGAGCAGCGGCCAGCGCACGTACTCTTAGATAACGACCTGAGGTCCTCTTCGCTTCATCTAGTTCCAGGAATGGTAACTCCACCTTGGCGGTGCACGATGCGCCAAGATGTTGAGCTAGCTTCCGTCGCTTAGTACATTCAAGACGAATGCTTATCGCCTTCCTTGATCTGCATCGTGGCTATGCTGCTTGCGTACCCTGTGGATAACTCAGTGTATGATGGATAGTATTCGTGCACTACATCCACGTAGTTGCCATATTGCAGTTGTCCACTCAGATTGACAGTACTGGGGAGTCCTTCCTTGCTTCATGTCCGTCATACATAGACATCTTACCTGTCATATTTGGGCCTAGAGCGAACCTGACGCATCGCTTTCAGGGCAGCAGGACCGAATAGCTGTGACGCGGGCGTCGGCTTCGCGCCGCAATGCAGGGAGAGTCCCTTCGACTTGAGAGAACCCCTAGGCGGCGGGCATGGCGGTCTCCAATCTGGATCACCATGCGATGGTGCGGTCCGGATTCCTCCGACTTGACTAGGGCATGCTAAGCGCGGAACATGGACTGGGCAACGAGAAAATAAGATGCGGCTCAAGCTGTCGAGGGACGGTGATTCGTGGTGCCAAAAAGGGGCGTCGAAACGGATGACGAAACGCTTAAAGCGGAGCCCGTTGCGTCGGCTTCGTTGCCAAGCATCCCGCGCAAGACACAACCAAACAAGGGGCCACCGTTTCGCAGCCCGATGCAGCCACAGCCGCATACTAGAACGCAAATAAGGTTGAGGGAAGTTTGACACTGGCGGCTCTGATTGCTTGCGTGTGTGCGAAGCTTGTCGGGCCAAGATCATCGGGTGGAAGCTCGAAGCTGTCTCAACAATGCCAGAACCCTCGCCCAAGCTCCACTCTGGTGTTTGACTCTGCTTCGGCCAAGGCTAAGCCTTAGGCAAAAAGCCTATCTCGACTTATCGTCATTCCTCAAAAAGCGCCGAGTCCCCACGTGCGTTCCAGAAGCCTGCCCGTATAGTTGATGCCGCCGCAAGGTGAGCGCGTACAAGCCTGGAGGTTGCTTGTAGAGGGTGGGAACTGATCGAGAGCTTGCGAACTTCGACTCCGGCTTGTCTTCGTTGTGAGTGGATTACACGCACTGCGTCGCGTCCGGTGGGTCTGTAATGATGAGTTGCTCTCTGGGCGTGGGCGGTGCACTCAACGTCTTTTCAAATCCGACCTGAGTCGACCAATCGGGCCGTGATCCAGTGTTCATGGCAGTGCTGAGTATGTCGGTGCGTCGATGATACGCAGAGCCCAAAGGCGATGCAAATTGTGAATGATCGGAGACAAGGAAGGAACAAGGGCATGTGAAGATGGCCAACGGGGCAAGAGCTGCCGGATGATGATGATCTACACCTGGGCCTGAGGCTGAACGCTAAAAAGCGGGCTGCGCCGTGCACTGCCAAGGTCCATCGTTGGGCTTTTCACATGTCAACATCGCTATGATCACAAAATGCACTCCGTCGCTCGCGGGCGGACAGGACGGCGCGTCGCGGAGCACTGCGGAAGAGACAAGAGTTCGCCAAGCAGATGCATGTGTGTCGTCACTGGTTGTAGAGAAATTACGCTGGCCCCTTATCTGGCAGCGTTTAAAGGCGTTGTATACTGATTGCTTTTCAGGCACTTATGCTGTAGAGGCACGGTTTCATGCAGAGAGGTGCTTCTTGGTGTGGTTGGCCTTCGCATTTGCTGCAGAATCCTCTCATTGAAGTAACGCCGCTGAGGTCTCGGGTTGAAAAGAAAACGCCCGAGATCACCCGAATCGCCGTGGTAATACGATGTCATTGCCTTCCCGACGATGCCCATGTGTAAAAAATCTTATCGTGTCAAGATGGATCGTGCAGCGGTATCCTTCCCTGTGCCCAACGAGCCTTGTCGCCTCGTATCTTTGGAAGCCGCTGGGCGAGGTCCACATCGCGACCTTGGCTTCGAAAGACAAAACAGGCATAAATGAAGAATGTGGATACTTCATGTTAGTATTAAAGTGTAGCGGTTACCTATACCATGCCTCCCCCGTTGTCTGTGATATGTCGTGGCGTATAATGGTACGATTGTCTGGCTGACTTCGCCTTCTCTAATCTTCTAGATTTTACTGGCTTCTTTCAGTACCTCGCGCGTAAGTACCTCACCTTTCTTCCTCACTTCACTGAGCCTGCCCATCTTCAATAACCTCCCTATCATCTCTTCGTCTCCGTGGTGGCTGTTGTGCTCGAATTCAGGCTCTTCGCCATATGCTACTCGGGCTGCATCGACTAGTATTCTTGCTGTCATGCCAAATACTCTGAACGTGGTGAGGCTGTCGATTGCGCTAGGCTCTGGGCGAGGGTCATCTCCATCAGGTAAAGTTTGATGCGAAGAAGGTTCTGGTGTGGATGGCGGAGAGGACCGCGCGGAATTACGTAGGAGTGTCGGAGATGGAGGGGGTCGTGGCATGTAGAAATTGTGCATTCGCCAGCGTGACTCGTGCCAGTCTGTCCAAGAGCCTCGATACCATTTCTCGGGTCTACCGTCTTTCTGCACCGGTGGCGGGCCTTCACCCTCCCACCCTTTGCGCAGGAAGTTGTGAAACGGCGCCGTGAAGACCGCTGCTACTTCCCTAGGGTCGAGTCGCGGCATAAGCCTTTCTTCTACAGAGAGACCATTCGCGTCGGAGGAAGCGGGCACGTCGGAGGATGTCTCTGCCGGACGCAGAAAGGCGACGCAGGGCCGCACTCCAAGTTCGGTCTTTGCGAGATTCGCGGGGAGTTCGCAAAGGTGCTCCACGGTAAATCCTCGAAGCTTCTCCTCATTCATGGGCAGCCCGATCTCTTCGTCCGCTTCGCGTCGTGCGACGTCCCACGGCGACTCGTCGAGTGTATCTGCTTTGCCTGAGCCATGTTAGTAGGCACGTCCGATCCAACTCCCATGTGTGATCCTATACCTCCGGGCAGCGCAGCCTGTCCCGCATAGTTGCGTAACTGCGCGCTGCGCATCGTGAGGACCACCTTGAGCTCGCCATGCCGGTCCGGAAAGAGCAATATAAGGACTGCCGCGCGTCTCGTAAGGGGGCAATTATACCATTGCGTCGGCGGAGGGGAGTACGTTCGGAGGCGGTCCAAGGCGCGCTGTTGGGCGTATCAGCAAGATGAAGGCCTGCTGCGGAGCGCAATCGTATAGAGTACTTACAACAGATCTTTGGGAAAGCGCCATTGTCGCAATAGCTTTGCTTTGGGCGAGCCATGCTGTCGGTCTCATGGGATGCGCGTGCGTCGGGAGGGTGAAGCTCAGTGGGGTCGTGGACCGAGGTTATCGATAGGCGGCATGCAAGAGCCTCGTGGCAGCCCCAGAATCTCCCGCGCCTTAAATAGATGCCGTGTGGAGATCGTCACGTCTGCCATTAGTCGGCATGGACAGTAGTCATAGCACTCAGTTGCATGGCGAAGAGCAAGTTAAGTAACTTTCATGCAATTGAATCGCATCTCTATATGAAAGGAAACTCCCGATCGTTATCATCGACATGCGTGGCCATGGTGAAGTGCTACATATCCCACCGCGTGAGCATGCGTTGACGACGTGCAGCAGATCCCCGAGGACATAGGAAAGTAGCATGAAATTGCAAAACAGGACCCATCCGTCAACTACGCACCGTAAGTCTATCATATGCAGACATTCTTTTAGGGAAATCATTTCGCACATGAGAGACCAACGCCAAGATGCCGCGATGTATAGACGATTACTCGTCCTACCTCGAACCACTTTTGAACCGGACCAAACAGAGAGCACCCCTGGCCGTGCAGGCGTACTCGTATTAGAAGACCACCGCCTCTATCCAATGCGCCACTGAAGCGTTAGTGGGCAGAGTGAGGCGGCGATGAGAAGATAGCAGAGCACCACTTCTTAGATGAGGTCTGTCGAGCACGTTAGTAATCAGGCTTGAGGTACGGGGATACAATAAACACTTACCAGCCACGTTCATGGGCATCTCCTCGATCTGTGTGCTGTAGAACTGCTCGATTTCGCGCATCATGCGGACATCGTCGGCGGTGACGAAGTTGATGGCAACACCCTTACGTCCGAAACGTCCACCACGACCGATGCGGTGGATGTAGTTCTCGCGGTTGGCGGGCAAGTCGTAGTTGATGACCAGGGAGACCTGCTGGACATCGATACCACGGGCCAAAAGGTCAGTGGCGATGAGGACACGGGAAGATCCGGAACGGAACTCCTTCATGATGACATCACGCTGGGCCTGGTCCATGTCACCGTGCATGGCCGAGACAGTGAAGTCACGGGCAGTGAGCTTGTCGGTGAGCCAGTCGACCTTCCTGCGGGTGTTGCAGAAGATGACAGCTTGGGTGATGGTGACGGTCTCGTACAAGTCGGACAGAGTGTCGAGCTTCCAGTCCTCCTTCTCGACGGCAATGTAGAACTGCTTGATACCTTCAAGGGTAAGCTCGTCCTTCTTGACAAGGATACGGACGGGGTCGCGCATGAACTTGGTGGTGACCTCGAGGACGTCCTGGGGCATGGTGGCGGAGAGAAGGACGACCTGGGTGGACTGGGGGAGCAGCTGGAAGATGTCGTAGATCTGCTCGGTGAAACCGCGAGACAACATCTCGTCGGCCTCGTCGAGGACGAACATCTTCATGTGGTCGGTCTTCAGGACACGACGCTGGATCATGTCGTGGACACGGCCGGGAGTACCGACAACGACCTGGGGGCCGTCCTGGAGGGCCTTCATGTCGTCACGGACGCTGGTACCACCAATGCAGGCGTGGCACTGGACGTCCATGAAGTCACCGATGGCGACAACGACCTTCTGGATCTGCTGAGCGAGCTCGCGGGTGGGGGCGAGGATGAGCGCCTGGCAGGCCTTGACGTTGGAGTCGATCTTCTGGAGGGTCGAGATGGAGAAGGTAGCCGTCTTACCGGTACCGGACTGGGCCTGGGCGATGACATCGTTGCCTAGAATATGTCAGTCGCTTGCTTTGTTGTGCGGTGGTGGGGGTGGGCAAACGTACCCTTGATGACGGGCATGATGGCGCGCTGCTGGATAGCAGAGGGGCGCTCGAAACCGTAGGCGTAGACTCCACGGAGGAGCTCAGCCTTGAGGTTCATGTTGTCGAACGAGTCGGTGATCTCATCGTAGTTGGACTCGATCTGGCCTGCGCGTGGGTTAGCCGGCGCTCGCAGAAATGTTTGCAGGTGAGGCTATCGTCGCCGCCGCCCTCGCACTGCGGGGCGCGCAATGTCGAGGAGCGGCGGGACAGCACTCGGGGCACAACTCACCCTCGGGCACGTCCTCAAGACCTTTGTCAGCCATGATTGCGACTGGAAGGAGCGACTACTGGTGCGGGACCGTAGTCGAAGTGTTGCTCGTGGCGGGGTTAAAGCGGAGGATCCTCTGGATGCCGCCGCGTGTGTAGAAAGTTGTGTAGTAAAAGCTAGATACCAGATCCTCTGCAAGAGAATCAAACGGGTATCTAGGGTAGTGTGTGTATTGGTTTTGTGGTGGATTTGGTGATGGAGGGACAGAGAAGGTGGGCGCTTTTTGGCTTAAGAGGTCGGCCACAAAAAATCTCAGCAGTGTGCTAGTGCCAAAAGCACGCTAGTTCAAATGCGCCCACGGCTCCCACCTTAGGTCCGCCTTCACTTCCACTGGCTCGCCTCAGTGTCAGCCTATGACTCTGTTCATTGTCCCTTGGTTTGCCTCCTAGACCACTTGCAGCCCTGAAAGCGTCTGCGCTGAGCAAACACCAAGCATCGTGCCCGGTCCATCTTTGACATGGCGCCCGGCATTCTGGACCACCCCGGCATTGCCACTGTCGAATCACGACCTTCGAAAAGAGTCAAGACTTCTGTGGCGACTGAAGTCGAGAGCGACGACGATGATGTGGCGGTGGCGGCAATCGCAGTCCCCTCGCATCCTCTGGGTATCAAGCCGGCCGGCAACGCGTATACTGCGTCCGAGAATATCAAATCGAGATGCGGACTGTTCGCCAGCTTACCCGATGAACTACTGAGCCACATCTTTGAGTCATTCGAAGCTGATGTTCTGATACGCTTGGGAAGTACATGCCGCGCTTTGTATGCCTTTACGAGGTTGGACGAATTATGGCGGGCTTTGTTCGTAAGGTGAGTACCACGGTTGCTATACACAACATGTTGCATTCCCCATCTTTTTCGTATACAGTCATTCCCACGTTTCCAGTCATCGTCCAGTCATGTAAAAGGTCAGGCGGTGTATGCGAAGGAAGGCGTTCCTTGTAAACTCTCTTAGGTCGGTATGACTGTGCCTGCACGCCTAACCGCGCCTCGGCCGTGGAAGTGCAGGACACCATCGTTTCAGAGCGTTCTGTGTTTCCCTGGGATGAAGTCTTAGATCGTTGCTCAGGTTTTTTGTGTGTAAATTCGTGGTATATACGAAACTGCATTTTCCCAACGGAATAGAGCGTTGCTTCTACTTTATACCAAGCTCAACATGCATCACTCGTTTGCTTGCGTTGAAAATACCAGACAATCACGAACGCTAACAATCAAACAGCTCCCCAGCTGAAGACTTTGAGTGGCGTGGAACCTGGCGAGCAACCTACCTGAAGATCCCAAGAGAGCACGTCACTTCAATATCATGCACCAACCTCTTCTCAGACACTCTTTATCGACCATTTCAGTGCGCCCACACAGAACTAAACTCCTACGCGGTCAAAATTCCGAAACAAAATGAGATAGCCCGACTATCAGATCTGACTTACGCAGAGTACGCGGAAACCTGGGTGGACAAGCCCTTTGTGCTCACTACACCCGTCAAGCAATGGCCTGTATACGGTACCTGGACGCCAGAGTACCTCCTCGAGAAATTCCCAGGAACTAAATTCCGCGCGGAAGCAGTAGACTGGCCCATGAAGAAGTACATGTCCTACATGCACGACAACGCCGACGAGTCACCCCTGTACCTGTTCGATCGCGCATTCGCCGAGAAGACCGGTGTAGACATCACAGCGGCACCACATTCCAAAGAAGCCGCATACTGGAGCCCAACATGTTTCGGCGACGATCTCTTCAGTGTCCTAGGTGAACACCGACCAGACTGCCGATGGATGATCATGGGTCCCAAGCGCAGCGGCTCTACGTTCCACAAGGATCCAAACGCAACTTCGGCATGGAACGCAGTCTTGACAGGCAGCAAGTACTGGCTCATGTTCCCCGCCGGCCCAGGTATCGAACCTCCACCCGGCGTCATCGTCAGCGACGATCAATCTGAGATCACCTCTCCACTCAGCATCGCAGAGTACATGCTCACTTTCCATGAACTCGCCCGCCAAACGCCCGGCTGCAAAGAAGGCATCTGCTACGCTGGTGAAGTACTCCATGTACCGTCCGGCTGGTTCCACCTAGTGCTCAATCTCGAAGACAGCCTCGCTTTGACGCAGAACTTTGTACCCCGCAAGAAATTGCCGGATGTACTAGGCTTCCTGCGTGACCAGCGCGGCGAAGTAAGCGGGTTCAAGGAAGATGTTTGTGATCGCGCCTATGAGCTTTTCGTGGAGCGACTTCAGGAACAGCATCCCGAGTTGCTGGAGGAGGGCCTCGACGAGTTGGAAAGGAAAGGGAAGAAGGGGAAGGGCAAGTGGGAGCAGCTGACGAAGGGAGACGAGGAGGAAGAAGTCAGAGGGTTTAGCTTTGGCTTTGGTGGGGATGACGATGATGCCGACATTCCATGAGCGTTGGAGTGATTGTAGTAACAGCAATTCCGCATTTTGCTCGAATACACATAGTGTTCAACAGCTCCACAAGTAGTGAATCGTTTTCTAATCGTGACATTCATACATTGCTATTTGCAAGCCATCTCTCGTGGGTATCATCTAATCGTTAGGTCGTATCATACATCGTAATCGCAGCGTCATATCTCATCCTCCCCGATCTGCGCCAGCTCACTTTGCGTGGTTGATGATCTCAGCGTACATGTCCTCAGGTATCTTGCCGGCGAAGCTCATAGCCACGGCGACAATCTTCTGAGCGTTAAGACCAGGCAGGTTACGTAGGATCGTATTGGGGCTATGAATACGTCAGTCTTGCTCCGAATATGTGTGGAGATTGTACTCACCTCGGGCTGTTCAAGATATCCCCACGGATCAGAACCAACTGAGCCACAATGCACAGAATGTTCAGATGAGGTCCATATGCGAAGAGGAAGTCCCAGAGCTGTAGCACCTCTGGCAACGGGGGTGTGCACGCGCACATGGTGAGGACGGATGCGAAAGCGTAGATCTTGGCTTCCATGTGGTGTGCCATAAGATGGCCGTACAGCTTAGGGTCGACGACCTCTAGCACCCTATCCACCAACGCGAGACCTTTGTGCACACCCTCCATCGATCCTCTCACATAGCCCGGACACTCGTATGTAATGAGCCGTTCGAAGCCCGTGAAAGCCTCGACTTCACTCCTCGCCGCGTACAGAAACGGCCCACAGAGCACATTCATGCCCTGCACGTAACCAATCTGCTCCGCATCGTTCGTAGTCGACGCCTCTGTACGCGTACCCGCAGTGAGGGAATGCCGCGACATCATGGAGGTATCTGGGCTACCGCCGAACTCGGATAGTGTTGGTGGGGACTGCCAGCCATTGACGCGTGCTTCGTGCGCATCGTTCAGCCTCCACGCGACCGCGTTGAGCACACGCGTAATGCTATTCTGAGTGACGCGTCGTCGGAAGAGGGGATCTCCCTGGAAGGTGCGGAAGGTATCGTTTTGGATTTTGGCGTGCGCAGGAGAGGCGCCTTGACGGACGAGATCGAGGTATACGTCGGTGCGGAGAGGAGGCGCGTTGAGTAGGATGAGCCAGATGTATATGCGCAGCTCGGACTGGACCGGTAGAAATTAGTATACGGAATTCATTGAGCGATTCTAGATTGCGCCCATGCGCAGTATGATCGCATGGGGTAGTGTGGAGAACATACCATGCCCTCGCTGTTGGCGGGAATGCCTTCGGTCAAGATTGTGTAGCGCAATTCTTGGAGACCCTCCTCTGGATTACTCGCAGAGGCTCCTTTGAGCAGCAGCATATCCAGATTCGTCATTTTGGTGAATTGGCTATGAAGGGGTTGGATTCGCTCACTATTCGAAACTCTGGTTGGGGTCTCCGCATGGCGGTCTGCACTGACGCCTTGGCGCTGGACCTAGGAATTGTCCCGCGTCATCCGAAGGCGCTCACTCCACTATCCTCAACACATACGCTGCATCGAGATTTGTGTGCCTTTCTTCACTCCTAGATCGGTTTGGAGCTGATCCTGTATCTTTAGGATTCCTACCACTATTTCATTTCTCCCTCCAACAAAACACTTCTGAATTCGCATGACAGTCTGTGACCCGCCACAGTAATGTCTTCTCATACCATTGTTTGCCCGTACTTATGTTGGCAGCAATCTTGATCATGAAGCTACCGCCAGAAACAGAATACAACCGCAGCGAGTATAAGCGCGACACCAAATACATCGCAGGATATCTTCTGAAGAGTTCACTGAAATGCGGTTTTGTACCGACACCTTCCAACAACTCCAAGGATTATGAGGTTGCAGAACGCGACTTTGAGCCAATGGCGAGGTGTATCGCGGAAAACTCCAAGAAAACACCCATACCATCATTCATACTCACCATCCTTGTTCGAGCTATTCGGTTCAGGCGAGAAGTGACGGCCTGGTATCGACTCAAAAGTTGCGACCCAGATGCGGATCAGCAGCATGATGCTTTCGTTTCGCGCCTTCAAAGAACACTAGATATCTTGCGACCGTATACACCCAAGCCGGAGAATAAGCAGACAAACGCAACACCGGCGTCTTCGAGGACAACCGCATTGGAGGTAGAGTTTGCCAAATTGGACTTACAGGACACGACCGAAGATGACGAGGAAGATACCGAGCCGCCCATTGTTGTGGGAGATCTGCCATCTGTCCCATCAGTGGAGATCAATCTGAACGATGAGAGTTTGGAAGAAAACTTCTTCCTTGATATCATAACTTTCTTGAAGGAGATGCAGTCTATCCGGAACTATGTCTTGAAACGCTGGGCGGGCGGGTCTGATATCACGACCAAAGCGTTTGTTACCAATACAGCGATCAACATCGTGCGACAGAAAGAATACGAGTTTGACCAAAGTCTATCACGCCCTCGTCAGTATCCCGTGGACAAATACCCTGTTTGGTGCCTACCTGCTTTACTCCTTCATCGGGCCAATAAGAGGAAGAAACTAGGGCATACGCGACCCCTCGAGCCGTTCATCAAACCTTCTCCTATGGCCATTACATTGACCGTCTTGGGTCAACATTCTTCGCTTTGCTTCTATCCTGTGTACAATGGTCTCAAGAAGCTTCTCCACGACGTCAAGAGCGCTCCTCGAGCGCGGCCCAGAGCAGAGTTCTTGTTTCACAATCTCAGACGGCAGTATGAGGATTTGGTCATGCATCCAAACTTTTTCGATGCGCGGGACATGGCTTCAGCGATTTACGTTATGGATGAACAGCCGACATATTTACGGTTCCTCCCAGAAGATGAAGTCACACGTGGTATCCGACATATGTTCAGAGTACGGAAAATACCCTTCTGGGTTACCTTTGCTATGCAGATTCTACTCGACATTAACGACCTCCCCGAGGGTTCTGTGGGAAACCCGTACAATGATCTACGACGAGAAGTGACAAAGACCTCGATCATTCTTCAGGAGATCAAGACGCATCCTAATAGACTTGTCGATGTTCATAGAGAGGGGGACTTTAAAGCATTCGAGCGTCTCGTGACTAGCCTCAAAGCGATACTTTTCGAAGATGGAGTTACCGAAATGCTACAAGGAGCTATAGAGGATATACCGCAAAGCAAACTACTGGGCTGCAGCGACGGAGCTGTCTATTACCTACAAGAAGCTGTGGAAGGGATGTCATTTACAGACGACGATCTCGTTCCATTGGTGTCTTTGGTTTACGAGAAAGGCCTGTTCTGGCGCCGCCATCACCTTAGATGTGGCGTCCTCATATACGTGCTAAGACTTTACGTGCGTAAGTTCACAATACGTCACGACGAGGACTATTATCACGTACTCAGCGTTGCTCATCTGTACAACATATGCCGCAATCTGTTCCCTGATGCTCCGCACTTTCCTGATATGGAGTTCTTCATCCAACGACAGGATCTGGAAAGGTTTTTCTACGGAAAGATTCCCCAGGATATCGACGAAGCTCAGAGGCAACTTGAACTCGTCATGCGGGGTGCAACTGATGCAATTGGCGGCCACTCGTACCGTACGATTAGCAAGATCGGGAAACGCCTCATGCAGAGCAGATGTATTCGCAGTCCTTCCGATACGGATGCTGTGTTAGGAAATCGATTCGATTTTCGCGAACATCCATTGCTTCCGAAGGAAGCCGACGAGTCGACTCGTCACTTCCTAAACAGCTTTCGCGATAAGAAGCAAGAAAATGAGCGAATAAAGCTGTTCAACTGGCCAGATGATGCACGTACTCCCGATGGCTCGACTTACCATAGGCTGTACTTCCACGAATTTGATAACACGTGGGATCCGCTTCCAGCCTTGCGGTCGGTCATGTTATGGCTCGAAGCGGATGTCGTTAATCTCAACTTCTGCACGCCGAAGTTTGTCCTCCTCTGTACCGACATCCTTTTGGAGATTCTTGAGATGTTTCGGAACGACCCTGTTTTCGAGAAAGACTTTAAAAAGGGATCAGTGAATGCATCCACCTTGGCGCCAGATGTCGCTCTTCGCCTTCTGACACTCACCGCCAACGAGACTAAACTACGCCAACGACAGCCAGGTCTCCCAGCGAAGAGAATGGATCAGCTCCGCGAAGTCTACAACATTATGCAAAAGCACTACCTGCGACCTGTGAGAACCAAGCCAGGCGAAAAGACCTGGGCTGGCGATGTCTGCATTGCGAACCTAGTCAACACGGAAAAGGAACCTCAGATCGGCGAGTATTGGAGTGCAGTGAACTTTTTCAGTGGCCGCGACATATTCGGGCACCCTGGGCGCAACATTGACCCAGATAATTTGGGGCCTGCTGCTGCTGAGAATTTGTACAAGAATTGGGACTTCGGCGGGAGTAAAGAGGAGAGCAGGATGTTCAACGCCCTCTCTAGGTTCCACGCCGGGCCCGGTTCGAACGTTATCGTGAGGAGAGCTATGGAGGGGCGCTACTGATAGCCTTTCGTAGGCACGCCGAACAAATCACTTCTTCGAGGCCGGGTGCTAGGGACAAGTGGTAGGGTGGTTAACAAGCATGCACCATTCTATCAAATCAGTATCGCCTCTACTGCACGGGCTTCATGTTCACATTGTCAATAAGGGGTGTCATTGTGGTGAAAAAGAGAATATCATTGAATGATCTCGCTATATAAGGAATGTCGTATCGTCATGATGTGTATCCCACCTGCCTCTAGAACGCCTTGAGAAATTATGTACAAATAGGAAAGCAACGCCTAAAACCTTCAACCCTCTTCTATCTTCTCCTGGTGGACGATGTCGATGTCTTCTTGTCATCCCTCCTCGTACTTGTACTTGTCGCCTTGGGCGCTGAAGTTATCGTCGGAGAGGAAGAAGCAACTCCAGCAGCAGCTATAGACGGTGGTGTAGAACTTGTCTGCAACGTCGTAGAGGAAGCAGCGTCTGTGGCAGACGAGGACGATGATGAAGAAGAAGAAGAAGCTGGTCGAGTGCTGGTGACTAGCGTGCTTGGTCCCTTGCCTCCGTTGGCCCAGTATTCTACAAGCGCCTGCTCAACCTTTTCAGGTTCTGTGTAAGCCTCTAGAGCCTCAAGCTCAGCGCACTTCTCATCGATGTGCTCGTCGTCGTATTTATTGATATCCTTGGAGCGGTACTTCTCCTCCATCGGGTCAATGAACTTGGTTGTCTCGGGGTAGCCGAAGTTGGCAAGGCTGGTGACGTTGAAAGCAGCCATCATGTCGTGGTCCTCGTGGATGAGGTTGTGGCAGTGGAACATGTATACACCATCGTATGGGGCGTAGCGGGCGATGACGGTGACCTTCTCGTTGGTACCAAGTAATACGACGTCCTTCAAAGCTTCTCGTTCGTAGGGCAGAACGCTTCGTTTACCTCCGGTGCGGCTCAGGATCTGGAAGTCGACGAGATGGATGTGGACGGGATGGCTCCAGCCGCCGGATGAATTCTCAAGCTCCCAGACTTCGACAGCGCCGCGCTGGGGCTTTGCGAGGATGCGGTTGTTGACGTCGGCAAAGGTGACGCCGTTGACGGTCCATTCTCCGCCAGTGCGTCCAAATTTGAAGCTCCTATCGATGCCACTCTTCTTGGGCGGGAAAGGTACTGTACGCAGGGAGCCTGGGAGAGGGCCGTTGCCGGCGGTGCTGGAGACGGAGGAACCCACGACGAATCGCATGACTTTGTCAGTGCTGTTGTAGTCCTCGTCTGCTTGTACGTCGCGCGCATTCTTCATCGTTACGTTCTTTCCGGAATATGCGCTGAAGTCGACGACAATCTCCCAGCGTTCAGCCATTGAGATCTCAAGGTTGTCAGTCGGCACAGGCTTGGACATGAGACCAGTGTCTGCAGCGATGACATTGAATGGAACCTTCTTGGCTGAAGGGTCCTCAAGAGTGAGCTTGAAGGCACGGCTGATGGCTGTGTTGAGCACCCTGAAGCGGTATTTGCGTGGCTCCACCTTCATGTAAGGCCATGGTTGGCCGTTGACGTGGATGACGTCGCCCCAGAGAGAAACGGTCTCACTTGCTGGATCAAAAAGCGTGCCGTCACTGTTGTACTGCTTTGAGGCCAGTGCCAGAGGCACATCGTATGAGCCCGAAGGAAGTTTTAATTCATCCTCAGCAGGGTCATGGAGGATGTAGAAGCCCGCTTGTCCGAAGTAGGCGTTCTCCGCAGTGTGATGAATGGCATGGTCGTGGTACCACAAAGTTCGCGCACTCTGCTTGTTGGGGTAGTCTAGAACTATTAGCATTCATGTGGCATAATGCCAGTGACAGCCGGTGCTCACAATAGTCCTTGTATTGTCCGTTCTTGGTAGTGTCCTCAGCCCATCCATCGAAAGGTGCTCGGCTGTATGAACCATGAAGATGCACCGAAAGGTCCTTAGGGCCGTGGTTCTTGAATCGAACAATGGCTTCACGACCTTTGGTCATGCGGAAAGTGGGACCAGGTGATACTCCATCGTATCCAACAAGGTTGGCAGGCTTAAGCCCAGGGTAGACTTGTTGTGTGAATGGCTTCACATCGACCTCGTAGAAGTCAATCTCATTCCCTGTCGTCTTGTTTCGGTAGGTGTACGACTTGGCCTTATCCTGGGGGATAGGAAGCGGGTTCTGAAAAATCTGCTTGTAGACTGGGCTGAGCCACTCGTCGTCGCCAGCAAGTGCTTGCGATGCCAAGAGGGCTGTGATTCCAATGGAAAGATAGTTCTTCATGGCGTAGTGAAGGCGGATGAAGAACAGGAGATGAGCAGATATGCGTGAATTGGGCTGATGCTCTGTTGTACACTGGCGTCTTGGAACACTTTATACATCCCCATCTCATGGTATACAGGAGTTAAAAGGTCTCGAATACGCCTGCTTCATGGTATCCGGCCAGACCCCCGTTCCCACCATCCCTCATCGTGGCAAGTGTACTCCCACAAGAATGGGATGTGAAGTCTAGGGCCGGCAGGAGACGCCATTCGGCGTTCTCGCTACTGTTGCCTGAGTGTGTCGATATTCACCATATCGTAGTCTGCTTCAAGCCACTGCCTGGAAAGGCCGAGAATATGGGATCCATGCCTAGACATGGCTTGAGAGGCTTGGTATGAGCAAGAGCTAGGCGATGAGCGAAAGCTGATGAGTCTTGGCGACCAGTAGGATGACTAGCCCATGCTGATGGAACAACATGAGAGACTACTCCATTTACAAGTGCGGGATGAATTCGATCAGTATCTCCGAATGGTGCATATGAGTAGGTGATGCTGAACTCAATCTTGACTCATCTGAATCTTCTCGACCACGAGAATCCCAGGTCTTCCCTGCTCTTCACCACGACCACGTGACGGATATCAGTAGGCAAAGTGAGCAACGAACGAGTTGCAGAGTCTGTTTCGGGAAGACCGACAGTCTCAACTCGGAAAGGTGTAGTCAGGAAGGTCTTTGTTTACGGATGGCGCTCTACATGCCTAGACGACGGCTGGGTACGAGCGGTCAACACGATTCAGGCCCTCCATGAGAACTTTCGTAGCAGTCTCGCCCTGCTAGGGCTGAACATTGTTGCCAGCGTGTGAGCTGTGAGGCGCTAATTGCTAGTGCATCGTGGTACGCGAGAGACCGGTCAACTTGGCCAGGCTTGTTTGGGAGTCCCGTAGATCCAGGAATAGCAGTTCCGCGTCCGGGGGACTGCTGGCCAGTGTGCCGGTGCTGTGTGTGTGTGTGTTCATCGCAAGCGGAGAAGGTTGAAGGGAGGCTGCGGAAAGGGAGGTCTGGACTGTGACCAAGCTGCGATCGGCGCTAAGCTAGCGCCCGTCGGCCTTGGCGTGGAGAGCGCTCAGCCTGTCAATCGAAGCCCTCCAAGCCACCACGCCTCTCCACAGCTTAACCTCAGCTACCCCGTAATGCAGCATCAGCGCGGAATTCATGCATGCCGAATGCACGGCTCGTGTCTTCCCTTTCCATTACACAGCTTCACATTGGTCAAGTCGTACCATCGCGTGTACAAGCTCCAAATCCCTTCCCGTCACGATCCGCCAAAACAATTGCGTCGCCGAACTGGAGTTGACCCAAGAAACAAAACAAAAAGCATGTGAGAGCGATGAGTGTTTGTTTCTGTCGATGGCCTTGCGCGCAATGTCAAACCTCAACGCTTGATCCCATGTTCTTACTATGACCTCCACGTAGGACCACGCAACGATCATTGCCTGGAACAGCTGTCGCACCACGTTGAGATCAGAACATGGTGGAACGAGAAGACCCCCACTCTGGCCCGATCGCGGACTAACAGTAGCAAGATCATGCAATTGCTATATCAGAGTGGAGTCTGTCCTTCACACCTACTTCGCAATTGATTCCGAGCTAAGCTCGACCATGGCACAGCGTCGGAAAATATCTAGCATAGGAAAATCCCCGCTAATTCGATACCCCGCTTACCCCTGCGAGACCACCCCGCGACGGCACTTGGACACGCGAGAAGGGTGATACTAAATCGGGGGCCCTGTTCACCAGCAGACCCCTGTCAGCAGTATCGCCTCTGATGTCTCTCCACACCTTCGTACAAACCGCTGTCAACTTTCCAATAGACTCGTGGCATGCAAATGTTGACACTGCATGGGAAAATTCCACGTCGTCTCTGCTACCATCGTGTTGCTTCGCTGTCTTCACAATGGCGCCGCCATTTTCTCAAGTCCGATAAGCTGAGGCTGTCAGTGTGCAGTAGCGAAGGACTAGATGGGACTTCTGCGGCACTTTTCCATTCTGGTCTCACCGATGCTGTTCGAGAATGTCGCCTCGTTCAATAATGGCTTGCAGATTGCCAAGTCCGCTCAGCAAGACGCGAAAGCTTGGCCTTTGCTAGACCCATGGAAATACGACGAGCCTCAGCTGTGGCTCCCGCTGCTACTGCAATGTCGTGTCCGGTGACCTGGTAAGCCGTCGTTGCTACCGCGTTGCTCTACCTCGGCCTTGTGGCAGGCAACAGTCGGAGTCCGTTTTCGAAAACTTCGCCTACTTGCGGACGAACGATATCATGACAATGAGTTTACTGTCTGTTCACATGTCAGACCTTTGCTCTCGAGAACTTGAGAGGAACGCCGTCGCGAGACTAGAATATCTTTTCAGGCCTGCCCGCACATACGTTATTTGCAAACTTTTCAGCGCTCAGCCGTGTCTTCGCTCATCCAGAACCGAAAGCTTGTTTCTATCGCACGACTAACGTAAAGAATAACCCAGCGGAAGCCTCGGTTGGAGCATGAGAAGGTCATTGATGCGTACCAAGTACCCTAGCGATAGCTTGTCATGGTTTGTTGAGGTGAGATCTCATGATGTACTCATCATTGCTATGCATGTCGACTACGTGCCATCAATCACTACGAATGCCTATGATGCGTTCCAGATCTTTCGAGAAGACCCCCAATTAGGCTTTCTGACAACTCTGTCGAGGTCGGCGAGACAGTGTCTGGGTAGCTCTGCAATCGAACATGACCAATCGCCACCACATTCCTGATAGCGCGCACCCAAGACCTTTCCCGCGATCATGAACACGAGGCCACGATGTGCGGGAAGAAGCGGATTCCGCCATTGCTTTTGCGATGCCTCGCTAGTCTTGCCCGTTTCCATTCCGCCAAGGAGCCGACATAAGAGAAAACACTCTATGCGATGAGTCAAAATCCCAAAGCCGTTTGTTGTTCTCACCGACCAGAGGACGTTCGCAGTATCAACTCCTTGGGATCTCGCGTTGTCCAGAACCTTTTCATTGCCGAGCTGTCATCGAAGTCCTTGTACGTTACACGCACACTAGGAAGCTTCCGTTCCATAGTTTTGGTGAAGTTCACTCTGGATTCCTCGATATATTCGCTCTCATACTGGGTTGGCTCAACCTCTTCAGCTTCCTCGTCGTCTTCGTTATCAGAATCCGCAAAGAACCCCGTAGCGGACAATAGTAAATCCACATGCGTTAGATTCTCGAAAGCACGGAGCGTGGGACGGTATTCACCCGTTTCGTCATCCACATCATCGTCAGTCCCCGGATCTACTATCTGGGCTAGCATGTATAGATCCGAAGGATCGACGCCAATCTGTATGGAGTGTACGAGGCGAATCTTGTGCTTTGGTCCTTCACTATATATTATGTCCCAAAAGAAGGATTCGTAGTCTCGCAGGCAGACGAAAGACCAGGTAAGGAATGGTCCCGCCACACTGATAGCTTCGGTGTAGATTTGTCGGCATACGGTAAGGACGCTGAATGGAGAGTATCGGGAAACCTTGCAAGCGGGTTTTGCAATCCCCGTAAAGGTAAAGGTCCATATGAGATCGCGCAGTTCGCGGGGTAGACGCAGTAGAGGCGATTGAAGCGCATTGCGCTCAACGCACCTTGGTGTCAGTATGTGATACCTTGACGCTGAGCGTAACGAGACTAACGCGGACTTTTGCCAATCAGTTTTTGGCGTGACATCAAAGACTCCATTCTCTGTCTTTGACAAGCCTGGATGAGATTCCGATACCGGCGACATGTTGCAGGATCCTGGGCAGACTTCGATGTTGGGTGTGGAAACGAGAATGATGGAGACATCGGGTTTGTGCTCGCGGCGGTGTGTAGCTCCGTTGATGCGGGGTGATGTCACCCCTCATGACCGACGCTCAGGAATCCACGGGCTCACAACACAACTAAATTTCACGTCCTACCTCCTACGCGCATTGTATGTCGAGCATCGCTGATAATCTAAGACACTAAATGAAGACAGCCGGAAGCCATATCGCAAAGCGTCATTATCTAGGCATAACGCACCCATTGGAAAATTGTGAAGCATACCTACATCCTCCATCAGCATCTCAGCCCACCTGGGCACCCAATGTGACCCAGACAACAAAGGCATTCTCAATCAACCCATAAAAACCTCTCCTTCCCAAACCCCAAACTCGATGCGCCCATCCCCCACCTTGCCCCTCTCCTCCTCAACCCACCCTTCCACCAACATAACAGCATGCCCTCTAACCAGCGTCTCCCCCTCCTCATCAACCAACAAAAGCAGCACCATCCACTCCCCCCTGCCATCCTTCCCAATCAGCGGATGAGAATCCGGCTGCGCCTCCACCCCCGCCCATTTATACAATGACGAATACGGCTTCAGAGCCGGCGGAACAACAGCCTTGAAGCGAGCAAGGAGAGAGTCGTGAAGAGCCCGCGGCACAAATGGAACATCCAAATTCACAGCAACAAGCACAGATTTCGGCGCTGCGCCCATCCGCGAAGCGAGATGCTTTGGTAGACGTTGAAACGGCATCTCACCTTCCCTTCCCAACCCCCCTACTTCTTCGTACACGGCGAATTGGGCATCCACGATATCAAACACCATCTTCTACTCCCCTTCCTCCTCTTCTTCCAGAAACCCAACGCCCACCTCGCCCTCCTCTAAGTTCCTGCTCTTTTCCAGGTTCAGTCTGCGACTGACACCCATGTATGGTTCCGTCTTTAGAAACGCAATGTCATCCATCAGGCACGTGTAGAGGTACTTCGGCATCGCGCTCTTACCACCTTCTCCTTCTTCTTTCTTCTTGTCGTGCGTATGCGTATACCCATCGTCGCCCTCCGGCGCAACGAACCGCAAGTCTTGTGTGACGCGACCGGAACCGGTGTCGGGTATATTGAGCATATCTCTGAAATGGAGTTTCGTCCAGCGGAGGAAAGTGGTGGCATTGGCTGGGGTGGGGTCGTGGAGGCGGGGGTGTACGAGGAGGAGGCCTGGTTTGGGGGGAGCTTGGGGAGGTGGTGAGGGATTCCGGGATGGGAGGGTCATAATTGTGAGTCTTGGATGCTTGCGGTTTGAGATTGCAAAGGGAGGAAAGGTGCTGTTAGTCGGGTCTTTATATGCGTGTCGAGTTCCCGTTCCTTTTATGCTGCGCCTGCCGTTGTGTATCCTCGGACGGTAAGCGCGGAGTTCCGAAGCTGCAGCTGCCAGCTGCATGAATTTCCTGACTGCATACCGAACCTTAACTTTTTCCCGAACGACTAATCTGAGTTGCTGCTTGGCTCCCGAGATGTGCAGTTCGGCTAAAAACGAATTCTGGAGGTGCATGTCGCCAGGGTAGTCAACGTAGATTGCGAGACGACGCACTGCACGCACAACCATCCAACCCATGCGGAGAGGCTTTGTAATTCAAATATTTGATTCGTTTCAAAGAAACTAAGTAGATAGATGTGCACGTCTCAATCGACAAGGCCCTATTCTTACAACGCGGAATTTGACATCGCGCTTCCTCCCCCATAGTCTCAATCCTCTGTTATCCCGTTGCCATTCTCCCAGCTTGACAACACGCTCCAATCTCAGGTATACCGCCAGAAATAAAAGCAAGCAAGCACCGTAACTCCTGTCATCCTGATGCTGATGCCACCACAATGGTAAACGCCAATACCCCAGGCGTTCAAGAAACAATGTGAGCGTCTAACCATGACGCGAGCGAGTCCAACCATTTGTATCCAGGGTCTGCCCTGTCCAAGTCGTCGGATGCCTAATGCGTCGGTTGCCGAGGTAAATGTAGGAAGATTGTACACTTCTCAATCTCGACATCCTCTTTCTTTGCAGTGCCACTCTCAGACTGAACCTTGCGCTCCTTCTCTGCGACAATCTCAACCTCGATACGATTGACGCCAGCTACGAGTTTCGCTTCGAACAGTGGCTCGCCCTTCTTCTTGCCACCCTCGTAGCTGGGACTTGGGCTTGTGCCGTTGATGCCTGCCGTGACAGGAACACGATTCGCTTCGAGTGTCTTATTGCCATTCACAGTGACAAAGAGGCGGTACATCCGGCTTGTAAGCGCGATAGGGACCTTGGGTACAACTTGAATGTAAGAGTTGGATGGTGCGACCACCATCGTGGCACTGTACATGGTTTTTTGTTTGTTCGCCAGGATGCTCGTAGACCATGGCTTCGACGGGTTAAGCGCTGGGTGGGTGTTGAGTGTGATTTTCGGTATTAGTGCTTCGTCGACGCCTGCGTTTGTTAATGGAAGATCTCTTGAATCAGGATTGGTACACTTACTCTTGAGTGGCACCTTTCTGAAACTATCTACGCGGGCTACTGGTGGAGGCGCGTAGTAAGTTGGCGTTTGGAATGAGGGAACGTGATTTCCATTCTGCAGCCCAATACCGTTCGGATGTGGACTGCCGCTTGCCTGGCGAGACACACTCTGTGGAGGGGCCATGCTCGGATGTGGAGTCTGCGCTGGGACGCTGAGTCGGGCAGCCTGGCTATCCGGTGCGGTGCTGGCCGGCCTGATGGCACTCAGGGCAGGGGATTGGACGTCTTGCTTGACACCGTTGACGGCGGGCGGTGATCCTGCGGTTTTGTTCTGGGCGGCAGAGAGTGGTGCAATCGACGAAGCACCACCTCTCGGTCCAGTGAAGGGATTGGCAGGTGCTGTTGGCGTCGCGGCTTTCCCAGGTGGGGCTTGAGATAATCGGTTGCCCACGCTATCGAGAACATGTCGTTGTTGTCGCTGAAGAGCGTCGTTGTCAACAATGACACCGGGCGTCGCAGAATCGCGAGCACTTGGAGTGTTACGCTCTGATCCCGGGCTCGGCTTCAGCTTCAGCTTGAGCTGCTGTTTTGGAGCCGCTGCGGCACTGGACATGTTAAGCTTCAGCTTCGGTTGCGTTGGCTCGCTGACTTTGGATCTGGCTTCTTCGAGTTTCTTGTTGAAGATTTCCTGCGACGGTCAGTACTCAGGTGTGAGAGCATGCAGACAGTAGACGTACTTCAAGCTCGAGCGAGAGGTTGTAGATGTCGCTACCATCTTCGTTGTAGATACGAGCATTCTTCCAAATCAGACTGAAAGCTTCTTCGAAAGCGTCCCAGCTCTTGAACAGTGTATGGCCTGTCGGAGCCTCGCGTCCCACTACTCCGCGAACCTTCTTCTGTATGGCGGCCAGCGACATGGGGTCTTTGATCAGCTGGTAGTAGTCCTTCAAGCTGCGCGACGGGAGGTTCTGGAAGGGTAGGAATATCTGCAGTCCTTGGCTGGAGAGTGTTAGCTGGCTGGTATTAGAGCACGGAGCACGCAACTTACTCTTCATAATCAAGGATCTCCCTCACAATCTGCTCCTGTGCCTGCTGGAATGTCTTGCCTGCATAATCAGCACTATCATCGTCCTCCTCCAGCGCAGCAGACGCCGACTGTCGCAACTTTGACGGTGCTGGTGTAGCCGACGCCGCGATGGCGGCCGCGCGTCGAGGGCGGTCGGCTGTATCTTGCGTGGCAGGTGTATGTGCGTGGGCGGTTCTTGGGGTCGAGGTAACGCGGGGGGAAGGTTTCGACGGGGTGGAGTTGTCTTCGCCTGGGATCGGGGTGGCTGTTGCGACATAGTTGCCGTCACGGTAAGCGGGATTGTGCTTGACCATCCAGTTGGAGGCGGTCTTGCGTAGACGCTCGGCATCTTGGTATATGACGGAGTTCTTGTCGTTGAAGGCCTTTGCGTTGTTGACCAGTCGTTTGCAGTCGCTCTCGACTTGAGCTAGGGACGCGTACTCGCCGTTGTTGAGTTTGTTCTCGATGGTATCAATAGCAATGGGCAGTTTCGTGAATTCGTAGTAGTCGGGCACCTCGGTCTGCATGCAATCGTCAGTGGACCTGGTGTATAGAGGGAGCGCAACGGGGACATACCTTGACGGGGAGAGTGAGGAAGTGGACGGCGATGGGGCGTCCGCTGCAAGTTGTCAGTGGGGGTTCCTAAGTCGGCACACTGTGGAGTATGGAAGCTGCCAGTGCGACAGGCGTCAGGAGGGCGTCACGTACGTCTTGTCCTTGGCCTGCTTCAAGCTGTCGAGGAACTTCAAGCCTGCCGTCGTGGTCGACTCGACCGTCTCAGATCGGGAATTGGGCGTCTCGGCCTGCACGGAAGCGGTCTCCTGTCAGCATTGTTCTCATTGTTGTCTGATCCAATTCCCGCCATGGCTGAGTGCATCGCCGGCGCGCGCGTGGTGTTGAGGATTGATGAGGGGCCGACGGGGTGATGGCCTGGTCGTCGAACCCCCCAGGTGTCGCGCTGGTGGACTAAGGAGCATCCCGCAACGCGCCCATCACGCCTCGTCCATCTCCAGGACACGCCCGACGATGCATCGCCCACCACCACAGCCTGCACGTACCGTCCCTTTTTGTCGCTTCGCAGGGCGCCCGTCGTGGTCGCCCGCTGCAGCACTCGCGGCTTTGCGCTTGGCCGCGCTCTCCATTTCCGGTTGATTCGTGATCGCGTAGTCGGACTGAGTGGTTTGCCGAGCGTCTCGAGGCTTATAGGGATCGTGGCGGCGGTGCAGTGAAATGCGCGTTCCGTCGTCAACCCGGTGGACGCGCCGCAGTGTTCAATCTAGGCTTCCCAGTTTTGCCAAGCCCCCGCGCACGGTCCGCTTGCATCACCAGATGCGTCCTCCACCACACCATGGCTACGGCAAATAGTAAACACTGGAACTTGCAGCATCACGCTTCAAACAATCAAATTCAGCCAATCAAGTGTTTCTAGGTAGTGGGGCCTGGTCGCTATCTTCCAGGGGTATACTTGGGAAACGAGACCTCCGCTAATACTGCAGCAAACTCAACATGTTTGTAGGATTACGCCAGAAACAAGGAAAGTCGTCCAGAACGTCTCTCTCACTTCTGCACCGGCTCCGACGCCTTCTTCTCGAACTCTGCTCGCGCCTCCGCTTCCTTCATCTCGCGCACCTTGGCTAGCACAACTTCCCGGAAGATGGCGCCCTTTGCGATTCTGCTTAGGCGTCCAGGTCCCTTGCCTGTGTCTGCATTCTCCTTGGTTGCCAAACTCTTGTCCTCGGAATGCGATGCAATGGCTTCACCGGCTGCCTCGCGGGCGTTGGCGGGCACGTCTGCCTCGCCTGGTACATCCTCTTCCTCGTCTTCTTGCATCTTGAGCGCTTCGATGCGGTTGGCAAGCTTGACGAGCTCGATGCCGCGCTTGAGACGGGCCTTTGCCGCGTACGCCTTGATCTCTGGCACCAAGTTGTGGTCGGTAGCAGTGCTTCCGCTGAGCCACACGTGTTTGAGGGCAGCCTAGTATTGTTAGTGCATTCCAACAGACCCTGACTGCTTCATCGTACTTCACTGGTTGGTCGCTTGTCTGGGTTGGGCTCTAGCAGCTTCTTGATGAACTCCTTGGCCTCCGGGCTCACTTCCTTCCAGTAGCGCTCGTGGAAGATGACGCGACCGTTCTTGCATTCCTCAATCAGGTCCGCAAGGTTCTCTGACCGGAACGGCGAGTATCCGCACAGCAGTGTGTATGTGATGACGCCCATGGACCACATGTCAACGGGCTTTCCGTGACCCTTCTTGAGCATGACCTCAGGAGCAGCGTATCCGAATGAGCCAGCCATGGTGGTCAGGACTTCGCTCTTCGAGTCGAGCATCTTGGCGATACCGAAATCCGCAAGTACGAGGGAGGAGTTCGCGTCGCGTGTGAGGTACAACAGGTTCTCTGGCTTGAGATCTATTCGGAATTAGCTGCTGTAGTCGCATCCGATCCGAGGCGGAGAATATACCTCTGTGAACGACATTGTTCTTGTGGAGGTAGTTGACTGCATCGAGTACTTGTCGGATTGTCTCAGCGGCGTCCTTTTCTGTGAATTTGCCCTTTTCGCAAATGCGATCGAAGAGCTCTCCACCCGTCGCCAATTGGGTTACAATGTAGTACTTGTCCTGGCAGGTGTCAGCTCCACAGTCCCACAGAAGGGACCCGTATCGCGCGTACCCTTGACTCGAACCAATCGTGGAACTTGACAATGTGAGGGTGCTTCATGCGCTGCAGCATCTCCAACTCATCGTACACCATCTGCTCGTTGCCGCGCACATTCTTCTTCAAGATGATCTTGACAGCGACCTTGCCCTCGGGGCAGTCAGCTTCTCTGACGATACCGTAGGTTCCGGCGCCGAGTGTCTTTCCGAAGCGGTATCGTGATCTGTGAATGGCATGTTCAGTACACGTCGGGGCGCAGGGCAGCAGGATACAGACTTGCGATCATAGCTGTCGGGCTGGCCGTGCAGCTTGTTGAGCATGTTTGTCACTAGACCAGCAGTCAGTCCTGGATATGGCAATGCGCACCGCAGGGAGGGAAGTACAACTCATGATGGGCGAGCTGGTAAGCAGTTATACGACTGCCGCGAGCGTCGTCTCAGGCTGAGGGTGAGATTTGGGGTGCCTATCAGGCGCGTTCAGCTGGTGGTGGGGTGGGTGAGGGGTAAGAAACAACAGTTAGGTAGCAATGCTGTCTTAGGAGCAAAAGGCAAGGCTGCAAAGGAAAGTCGTGAAAAGGAGGCACGGAATTGGACCGGGTCAGCAACAAAGGTCGAGCGTCTTGGAAGGCTTGCTGGAGTAGCACCTAGCCTGGCTGTGGGGCAGGCGCATTCCATGTTCGTGTCCGCCTCGCGGCCTCCAGGGTTTGAGCCTTTGAGGCGCAGCGCCAGCGGATGGCTCAAAACCTAGCAGCAGCTCTCAACGCTTTCTCCATGCCATATTTGTCAGGCTCAATTGAACACAGGTCGATGCTACCACGTACTGTCAGATGAGTGGGCGGACATTGCATACACGTTCTGTTGCAGTATACACGCGTCGGGCAGGCTCAACAGGGACTGTCATCTTGACTCGCGAAGCATAGACATCTCTCTGCTCGCAGCTTCTTAATCATATCCTTAAGAGCCGAACAGTTAATCTCTCTTCTGGTACGAAAGAGGCCGTACTTTTCGTATATTCCCTAATGGTCTGCTCTAGTGTACCGACACCAACGGCCGCTAGACAATGCACAGTTGCATTCGCAGTATGACTCTACTGCAGCTTGAAGACGCGACCATTCCAGTGCTCTCGAAATGCATGCGCCACAGCAGGTAGGGCCCAGTTCATGCCAAGAAGGAACCGCTCGTTTGGTCCCGCAGTCGCAACGCGCGCAGGTTTGCATGTGGAATTCCTACGTCATGCCCTCCCGTCTACATAATCTGGGCCTTGATCGACAAACACCCACCATACCACGCACATCACTTCTTTATTCTGCCAAATCTCCTCTGTAGCAGCACTACACACCAATTTCCTCACAAACTCACACACACAAACGAGCAACCGCACAGTCTCCACTATGGCTATCGGCATCTTCACCATCCTCGCTGGCTTGATCGCCTTGGCCGCCGGCTACTTCTACTTCTTCGGTATCTCCCCGGAGATAAAGCGCAAGATGGAGAAGCAGGCCCTCCAGACCATGGGCGAGAACAAGATGTCCTACATGGCCAAGGGTGAGTCTTTCCATACTCACAAACACCACCCAGCAAACACTGACATCTTCCAGACCAGATCAATAAGATCCCCACCTCCGATCAGGAAGACGTCAAGAACCTCAAGCAGGGCATCAGCAACCTCGCGGGGGGCGCCATGCAGAACCCCATTGGAGAGCAAGCTGGTGAAAGCGCTGATAGACTCACATCTCCGCTCACCGGTCGCTAATGCCTCTTCTTTTGTACAGTCCGAGCGGCGACCCAAGTCTGGGATCAGACCAAGGACGTATCGAAGAAGATCTCGGACCGGTTCCACTAGGAGGTGGTGAAGGCGTGTCTGAGGGCATTGCTCGAATGCCTTCGGGGATGGGTTATCGCATCCAAGGAGACGATTCAGCGAGACGCCCGGAAGTAATTGGAGTAGCGACACGACAGCAGAAGGCGAATGCTGGGCATACCCTCGGTAGGCGTTTGGTGGTTCCTTTGTGGCTCCTCTCACGGTAGCCTTTTCCTTGTATACCGTCCCGTCAGGTTTGGGCAGTACTCTCACGACCGTCATGACTCTCATAACGGCCTCCCATATCCCTAATGAAATCTCTTCCCCGTCGTCTTGATAGACTTGTTCCAATTCCTCATCATCCAACCTGTACCCCACCACTCCACACGAGCCACGCGACACCCTCCCAGCCCAGAACGATCCCCCAGAACACAGCCTGAAACCTCACCTTCCTCGTCTTATGCTGGAAATAGTGCATGCCTGCCAATGCTCCCGGCCACCCTCCCACCATCGCCAGTGTATGCAACGTCACTTCTTTGACTCTCCACTCCAGATTCCGCGCCTGCATCTTATCGTAGCCATAGAAGAGAAACGTCACTCCGCTGATGAAGCCGGCGTAGATGAGCGAGTATACGGGTAGCGCCGCGATGGTGTAGAGGCGGATGAGCGTGACGGTGGGTAGGATGAGGGATGCGGTACCGCAGATGGTTGCGATGGTCAAGGGTCGGTGACGGGGTCGCGCGCGTGGTGGCATACTTGCAGGTGTTGGTGATGGCGTAAGAGGACCCGGGGGCTCGGGCGCATCGTGAGCGGGGAAGGAGCAGTATTGGCGACGTGCTGGTGAGTGATGGGCGAACGCGAGCGAAGCTTTGCCGATGCTCTGTCGATCTCCCGGGCCGTTGGCGGTTTGGTGCTTGGACGGAAGAGGTTTAGTTTTACTGGAGGGCTAGCGTGAGGTGGTCAATTGCCCAGGTGGGCTGCGACTCTTCATCATCAGCCTCCAAGGTTTGCCGTTGGCATACACGACCTCACATGCATGGTGGTGCATTGCGCAATCCAGGAGTGGACATAGGTCTAGCTATCGTTGCTCTGGACAGTATGACCACCTCCGAGATACTACAAATTATCTGGAGAAGCCGCTCTACCCTACCTCACCCCTTCATCAACGCAAGATGAGCCACATGAAGGCCCTTTCGCATTTCAATGGTGTAGGAGATGACGTAACCGCGCTTAAAGTTCGAACTCTACCAGAGCTTTGTTGTCGTACGGCCCGAATTTCCGACCGTCATACGTGTACAACCAATATCGGCTGGAACCCTCTGATGATGAACCTGTCTTTTCCGGGACTCCCACCACATACCTCCTATCAGTATTCCACAAGGCACTGATCTTGTCGGCATATTCCCAATTGCTGCTCAGAAATTCCGCATATTCCGCGTCCTCGTCCTCGTCCGCAGACGGCGAATCACTGTCCCTATCAAGGAGATCTCCGTACGATGGAGCGTCAGTGCCTTCGTTTGCTGGCATTGACTCAAACGGTCCATCGCTCAGCGCGGCAGTTCGCTTGACATCTTCTTCGGAGTTCGCCTTTCTTACCAGTTCTCCCATCTCATTTGTCGGATAGTAAGTGAACTGGCTTTTCAAGTTCTCGATACTTTCCAAAACGTGTCTGTAGTGGTTGTTTGGGTCCGCAGACGGATACTGAATGTTCGCATCAAGGAGATCCCGCAGCCACTGTCATTTGGTCAGTACATCACATTCGGCATCGGGATGAACGTAATCCTTGGTGCGAACTTACAGAGGCTCGTTTGCGTAAGTATTTGGGTGCCTGCGCTGAGTAAGTAAGGTTTTGATGCCGGTGAGGACATATCCTAGTACTGACCCTACTGAGCCCCTCCAACGCCCAACCATAGTGAAGCATGTATTCCAAGGAATCGTCTGGAACTTTCATTGTGCCGCATGTGTATGCACAACCGATCGCACTATCCCACTCAGTAGGATCTTCGTCTACTCCGGCGACTCCATCAAAACAATATCTGATACACTACACCGTGTCAGACTTTGGATGTTACTGAGAAACACAGCCCAATCTCACCTGGCGGGTAGCCTTCTCGCGCAGTACGTCAATGCTGGGTTGGGCTTTCGGAACTTCGATGTCGGGAGTTTGCTGTGAGTCGGGTGCCCGTGCATTGACGGCAACGGCACTGCACAAGACAACACCGAGGATGTTGGTAAGGAGCTTCATGATGAAGGAGTTAGTTTCTAGGTATTAACGGCTGAGCTGTTGTTTAAATAGATGTGAACCCTCTTGACGCGTTCGGGTGCGATCGCTTCAGTGCGGAGAGAACAGAGGTGACATGGTTCCTGAACCCTTGAGTGATGGCTTGATCCATTGAACTCCAAACCCTATCCAATGAGCCATCGTCAAAACGCTCAACATCCTGAAGACGCGCGTCTCCAATCAGCAATCAAACGACAACCATGTGCGAAAGCAGGATACCGTCGCGAGAGAAGGGTTTATATGGCAGGCTTTCGCATGCCTTCCTTTTGTACTGATCGTTGAGCTAGTGCTTTGGGACGCGATACAGCCTTTTTCCAAGAGCTCTCGGGTATCTTCATATGATCGCGAGAGCTGACTGTACTACAACCTACTTGAAGATGTCCAAATCCTCTCGGTCTTGTATTCCGAATGCATACTGTAACTTTCCCCGTTAAACCGCAATGCGCTCCTCTCAACACCCCATCCGCTTCAAATGCTCCGGAAGATCCATAACATCACGTGGATGCTCTTTCATAAACTCATCTGCCACACGCTCACAGTCCTTCGCCTGCAACACAAACATGGCCCGCCACGTCTCAGTAGGCTGCTCGGCATACTACACCCTCGTCAGCACACCCAAGTCCACAACCACACCCACAGAATTCTCAGACGTTTATCCTAGTCCCACTCACGTTTGAATCCTCCTTGCATGCCTTCAAGCAGCGGATGTAATTCCAATCTCCTTTTCCGCCTCGGCGAGCCTTGTACTGGAGCGTGTCCATGCAGTAGTTGTAGCACTAGGTTTTGTTAGGCGATTTTTTCATGCAGGGGGGGATTTAGTGCTCTTGACTTACTTGTTTGAGGGGTGTTAGGGGTTCGAGATCGGCGAGAGGGATGGTGTCGGGGTTTTGACGCAGCTGGGATTCGGATAGGTGGACGGAGGCGGTGGTGGCGGCGGCGCATAGGGCTAGGCGGAGGATGGTGGTGCAGAGTTTCATGGTGGTGTGGATGTTATTGTTGAATATAGGAGCTGAGGAGTCTCAAGTTGGGTGTTGGAAGTATTTAAAGCAATTGCATGAGGTCTGTGGACTGGTTTTGCGATTTGCGAACCCATGGTTGATAATTCGGTACTACCAGAATCACACACATCCAATACCCTGTCCACGTATTGCTGCAATATGACCACTTATTTTGGGGTACGGGAAGGTAAAATCAAGAGGATACATTGCTGCCATATACGAAGCTCGTCAAGGCAACGCTCTAACAAAGCTGCAACCTCCCTTCATCCTCACGCATGACCGGCACGCCCGACACCCTTCGAAGCCCTCATGGCCTACTAACAGGACCTTGATAAAATTTCCTCAGCACCTTCTCCTCCTCATCCGTAATCCTCCTCTGGATCTTATTCCTCAAAATCTCAATCTGACGGTCATACTCCCACCGCGGTGTATCCGCACCCCTCATACCAATGAACCTCGCAAACATCCTCATCTTGATCTTTAACCGTTCCAGTTCGCCTAATTTACAGTTCTCAGGCAAGGTGTCGCTGGCGTCTAAGAAGGGTTGTTGCCAGTTCATCGTCTGAGGATATTGGTTTGTGAGATCTGTTGAATGTGTTTGGGAATAATAGGCGGCTAGCGCATCGAGTTGCGCTTCGGTGAGGAGGAAAAGATCGAGCATTGTAGAGGGGAACTCGGGTGCTGGTATCCCTGTCTCCACGTGCACAATGGGGGCGATGGTGAGGCGCATTTCGGCGATTTTATTTGCGAGGGCTGGGTTGCGGTTCCATGGTGACATCTTTCTGGCTATTCGCCTCTGAACAATGCTCGATGTAGGACTTCTTGCTTTGTTGATTCCGTTTGTATCGCTCATGCGTCGGTTAGGCATATGTTCGTTTGGTAAAGAGATGCTGGTCGGGCAAGGGCTTGCTGAATGGAGATGGTTTGCTGCGGGAGGACGTGTGCGACGATATTTGGTATGAACCAGCCGGGAGTGTGTAGCATGCAGGGTTGAGGGGTCGCCGTAGTATATAAAGGCGACACAAACGGGCGTGGCGGCTGTCAGAAGAATGGGTTTTGTTGGAGCTTTGCTCTTTGTTAAGACACCGCCGCTCAAGACTTGCTCTTCTGACTCCCAGTATCTCGTGAAGAGTAGAACCTTTGTCTCTCTTCTGTCACGTGTCCATTGTTTCCGTGTGGATGATGGAAGGTTGCTGCCGCACAATGTTGCGCATTCATGGCAGTGATGGTAGTGCTTGATGAAGGCGGGGGGGCTGATCACCCTTGTTGAGGATGCGGTGGCGTGTTGGCTGACATTGTGATGCGTTGGCAAATCTTTCATGATCTGAACGCCGCTGTACAGCTCCGTTTCAGACACGACCAGCGGTGAATTTGTCAACCTCTTCGTTTTCGAAAACTGTGGTGCGGTTAGATAATGGGAATGAAGGCCTTGATGCGTCAGATATCTGAAGGCAGATAGCGTTAATGGAAGGAGGCCTCAAGCGTCGAGAATGGCTTGGAGAGAGACATCGTTCTCGGCGCCACCAACTGGTTCGGTATTTTTCCAGAACTTGCTCAAGTGCCTTGCACCACTGTGAAGGTGTTAGTGGGTACTTGGAATTTTGAGACATGGTCTTACCTGTCGCATAATATGGTGACGATGCGGTGTCCTGGACCAAGTGTCTTTGCAAGTTTCGTGGCAGCGACGCCTTCAATAAGTCAGTGCCGCCTGCTGTTGAACGCTTCACAACTTACAGTTCACAGCACTAGAGCTTCCAACAAAGATGCCATCGTGCTCAACCAACCAGCGCGCCATGGAAATTGCTTGGTCGTCGTTAACCCTGATGGCATCGTCGATCAGCTCCCTACCAACGTCGAAGTTGTGAGTCACTCTGTTGATGCCGATCCCTTCAACGATTGTGTCCACTTGGTGTCGCCGCCGCGTTCCTTCTCTTTCCTTGGGGTCGAACATAACACCGTACTTGACGCGGTTGAACAAGCCGCTGCCAGGGGGATCCGCAAGGACGACCCTGATGTCGGGTAATTTGGACTTCAGGAATAACGCTACTCCAGAGATAGTTCCTCCAGTGCCAGCGCCGCTAACGAAAGCATCCACACGACGCCCAGTTTGCTCATAGATCTCAGGTCCCGTGCCAGTGAAGTGTGCGCGCCAGTTGGCTTCCGTTTCGAATTGATCGGCAAACAGTCCTCTCCCAGGCTTTTCAGAACTTGCAGTGTGCTCTTCTGCTCGCGATCGTGCGAGGTTGACAAATTGTTTCTGGTCCACGATAGGCGCTGGGCGCACTCTTTCTACTTCAGCACCAAGCTTCAGCAGGAGATCTGACTTTTCGATTGCCATGTCGTTTGGCATGCAGCTTCGCTTGTCAGCCAACACACCTCTGAGTCAGATGACGGCTTACATGTGTGCTTTGTAGCCTCTTGCTCTGCAAATAGCGGCTAATGATATGCCAGTGCTCCCCACAGTGCCTTCGTATATGGTGTCACCAGAGTGTGGGATCAAAAGACCCTTCTCTTCAGCCTGTTATGAGAATCAGCAAACATAAATGATATAAACGGGAGGCGGAGTAGAGTCTTCTCTTACCATCTCGATGATGCTTAGAGCGACTCTATCTTTTGGACTGTTGCCGGCTCCATTGAGAAACTGTTGCTCACGTTAGCGAACGTTAAGGCAAATTCATGTAAGTTCTCTACCTCGGCTTTTGCAAGTATGTCACATCCCGTGAATTCCGAAAGTGACTTGATTTTGATGAGGGGCGTGTCGCCTATGCATCCTTCGATGCCTTCCTTGATGTTGACGGCGCCGTGCCCACCACCAAATTCCAGTAAACTCTTCTTCAACGTTTCCAAGTCATTAATTTTTGCGAGTTGCGATAGCCATTTTTGCTGCTGCGCCAGAAGTTGATCTGCATTATCAATTCCTTCTATCGACCTCTTTTTGTTATATGCAGTCGTCAGAGCAATCCCTAGCAGGAAAGCGCCTAAGAAGTAATACTTGGAGCGATCCGCCATTTCGAAAAAGTTGGGGAGTTGTGGCGTGCAGTTTGCAGAGTTGACGCGATCGGAGCTGGTGGAATCCCCGTCTTGGCGCGGCTGCCCGCAAAGCTCACCACGTGCATTCGCGCGGAAGACCACTGCCACCACTACTGTCGCGACGCATTCGTGACAATCGTCTTGGGCGCCAATGGACTCGCCGCTCGCCACACAGCTCTTCCGTCAGCTGTTCTCGCATCGAGCGTCGCAATGTCTTGCCCGCGGAGCTCGACCAGCGCTCGCAGGCGCCCGCATACCACACCACCAAAGACGAGGCAAGGCCACACGGTTGGGTGAGGGAGAAACGAAGCGCGAGAGCAGATGGACGCCGAGGAAGAATGCATTCCCTCATGAGAGGACGGAAGAGTTTGAGAGATACCCAATGGTCACAGCGGACATGCTGCGGAGTAGGAGAGAAAGACCGCGCAGAGTCAAGATGTTGTTGCGCGACTTTATAGAAGGTTGGGACTCTTACATGTGGTGTTGTACCATACTAATGGATTCAAAGATAGCTTATACAACCCCAATTACGGCTACTTCTCCAAGCAAGTCGTCATCTTCTCCCCGGGCGATCCATTCGACTTCAACTCCATGGGCTCCGAGCACGAATTCTTCCAGCAGCTGCGGCACCGCTATACTGCCTTCGAAGACGATCTTGATTACCAAGAACCGAATGACCTGCGCCAGCTCTGGCATACGCCGACCGAACTCTTCTCGCCCTACTACGGAGAAGCAATCGCACGCTACCTAGTAGAAGACTACAAGTACAACTTCTACCCATACCACGATCTGAACATATACGAAATGGGCGCGGGTAACGGTACAATGATGTTGAACATTCTCGACTTCATACGGGATGTGCACCCAGACGTGTACGAGCGGACCAAGTTCAAGATCATCGAGATCTCCAGTCAATTAGCCGACCTGCAACAGAAGGGTCTAGGACACTCAGCATATGCGCGAGGTCACTCTGACAAAGTGGAAATCATCAACCGGAGTGTCTTTGACTGGAATATCTACGTCTCCTCTCCCTGCTACTTCCTCGCATTGGAAGTCTTCGACAACTTCGCACACGATGCCCTAAAGTACGACTTCGAAACGGGCCTCCCATATCAATCCCACGTCGTCATAGATCCTCGTGGAGAGCTCTTCGAATACTACTCGCGCACCATAGACCCCCTCGTTACCCAATTCCTCGAGCGCAGACACGCTGCCTGTACCGCATACCCACACCCGCTGCAAGGCTCGCGGCTCATGAACAACCTGAAGAGCTTGGTACCGTTCCGCTCTAATATGAGCATGCCGGAGTACATCCCAACGCGGCTGATGCAGTTCTTCTATATGCTGTACGAGAAGTTTCCAAACCACAAGTTGATTAGCAGCGACTTCCATAAGCTGGGCGATGCGGTCGAAGGTATCAATGCGCCTGTTGTGCAAACGAGGTATAAGAGGCAGATGATTCCTGTTTCGACACCTCTTGTAAGTTTGGTCTGTTGTGTTTTAAAGACAACTGCTAATACATTCTAGGTGCACCAAGGCTACTTCGATATACTCTTCCCCACTGACTTCGAAGTCATGGAACCCATGTACACGTCGATAACCGGGCGCTTCGCACGAACATACCTACACGAAGATTTCATGGCCGGCAGAGCAGACATTGCGGAGACAACGACGAAGAATGGTGACAATCCCTTGCTGAGCTGGTACAAGAACGCCAGTGTCATGATTACGGTATAGAACAGAGCCATACGGTCCTCTCACGGTCATCATGTAGGAGAACAATATGAAGATGCCAACATGCATTGGCAGCTATTCAGGCTCCTGTCCCTTCCAGGTCTCCTTGACAGCAGTAACATCCATCTCACATACCTCAGCATGTCTCAGTATCGCATGCGCCTTCTTCACGACTGGCGCATCGATCATCTTGCCGTCCAATGTCCAGGCCCCTCGTCCAGCTTTGCTTGCCTTCTCATCCGCTATGACTATCCTGGTCGCCCACTCGAGCTCCTTCTCCCCAGGGCTGAAGGCTTTATGACACACGGCGACTTGACTTGGGTGTATGCATTGCTTGCCGTTGAACCCGAGCCCTTTGCCATTCAAACACTCTTCCTCCAGTGTCTTGAGCCCCTGCTCGCCCTTGTAGCTCGTACATACCAAGTCAATAGTACTAGGAAGTCTGGCAGCCCTCGCCGCCGTCGCAATCGCACTCCTTGCATACAAGAACTCCATGAGCGAGGGTGTACGCGTGAGACTCATGTCCTTAGCAAAGTCCTCTGCTGCAAAGACGAGCCCCGAAATATACGGCGAAGCAGCGCAAATCTCACTCAGATTCTGGATCGCCCTTGCGCTCTCTATCAGCGCTATTATGCGCACTGGCTCCCTCTTCCCTTGTGTCCCTGCACTAGGATGGCGGTCGGGCGAGAGATGCCGTATCACGTCCGTGACGAAATGCAGGTCTGCAGCGCTTTCGCACTTGGGCAGCATGATGGCATCGAGGTGCTCGCCTTTGAGCACTTCGGTTAGGTCATCCAGCGCGAGGCCCGTGTCTACGCTGTTTATCCTTACGCACATCTCTTTTATGCCGGCGGGTCGGGGCTTGTTGAGGATGGAGCGGAGGTTGGAGCGCGCTTCGGGCTTCATGTGCGAGGCGACGCTGTCTTCGAGGTCGTAGGTTACGTTGTCGGCGGTCATGGTGAAGGACTTTTCGAGCATTCTCTTGGAAGAGGACGGCACTGTGAGGAGTGTTAGTATGGTACTGGTGGAACTGCTTGTATGCTATGTGAAGGTGAATGGAGTGGTGATGGTATACCGTACATGCACGCCCTCCGTATAATCGGCGCCGCCATCCTGCTTCAAAACTGACTTAATTACTTCCTCTGAGATACTCGCCTCAAGCAAGCCTCAATGGCAGAAAGTCATATAGCCGTTACACACCTCGGACACTCTCGCTAGCCTATGACGTGCGGGGAAGTCGCAGCTCCACCAAAGCTCCCCAAACGCCGATCGCCGACGCGTCCCTGAGAAAGCCACGTGAAGCTGATCTTCACACGTCTCGGACTGTTTCCCCCAGCACCACGCACACCCCGACGGCACCAGAAACCATGGAGAACGCACAACAAGAGCCGGCGCCTGGTTCGCTGAGCTGGAGACTAAGCAGCCATCCCATCACGCTGCTTACCTTCCTCGCCTTTCGCATCTGTATGTTATCCCAACTTACAAGCTCCAGGCACCATTTCCATACATGCCCAGTGCATTACATTCACAGCTAACCCTCTCCCCCAGCGTCCCTACTAGTCTACCTCCTCGGCCTCCGCCTCCTCACCGCAAACTTCGTCATGATCTTCATCATCACCATCCTGCTCCTCGCCATGGACTTCTACTACCTCAAGAACATTGCTGGCCGCCGCCTCGTCGGCCTCCGCTGGTGGAACGAAGTCGACGCCAACACGGGAGACGGGCGCTGGGTGTTTGAGAGTCTGGATCCGGAAACGGGGCGCCAGATCAATGCGACGGATAAGCGCTTCTTTTGGCTCGCGCTGTATGCGCAGCCTGTGTTGTGGGTGCTGCTGGCGATTGTCGCGCTTGTCAGCTTGGAGTTTATTTGGTTGACGCTGGTTGGTATGTGGAGACTTTTTCTGTTGAGGTGATCGAGGAAGAGACATGTGCTAACGTTTTGGTCTCAGTTATCGCGCTCGTCCTTACGATTACGAATACCCTCGCCTTCTCCCGATGCGACAAGTTCAGCCAAGCGACAGGCTTCGCCTCAAACGCCATGTACGGTTCGGGTCTCGCGAGGAATCTGGCTGGCGGCATGATTTCTGGGCTGTTCAGGCGGTGATACACGGACGTTTTGGTGTTTGCGCGAATTTCTCGTTTCTCTGCTCTGGCTGTTGAGACGAAAGCAGGAGAGTCTTGTACGACTAGGCATATGGTCTATTACTTGGAGTCTACCCAGGGCGTCTATGATACCCTATATCGATCTATCAAATCGAATTGAATGTTCTACGGAGCTATAGTCTGGGGTGTTGTGCTGGCTCAATAGCCTCTCTCGCGGTTCACCTCGTTGATCAGGTTGCCGTTACTTCGATCCCGCTTTATGTTCTCGACCAACAACTGGAACGCGCGGTCGGCGTATGCATCTGACGCTCCACTGCAGTGCGGTGTGATCAGCACATTTGGTGCATCCCACAGCGGATCATCCTTAGGCAGTGGTTCAGGGTCAGTAACGTCAAGGGCAGCACCACTGATATGTTCTTTCTCCAAAGCAGTGATGAGAGCCTTCTGGTCGATGATTTGCCCCCGCGCGATATTTGCGATATAGGTGCCCTTTGGATTGGACTTATGCAGGAGCTCAAATTCCTCGGTAGAGAGGAGATGCGTTGTCGCTTTTCTAGTTGATGTGTTAGTGAAAAATGATCGAACCGTCTCTCAGTGCAAGACGTGGGCTAATCACTCACGTTAGCGGCACAGCGACGACTAATAGGTCGATTTCCTGCTTCAAGAACTCGTGCACATCTTCTTTGCTAGTTCCGCTGTACCACGCGCTGGGAATACTGCCATCAGGATCACCAGTCCCAGGGACGATGTACCCGTTGTCGTGCTTGGACTCTGGGGTTTTGCGTGGTGAGGCTGTGTAGGCTATTACGTCCATGCCCATTGCCTTTGCTACGTGAGCGACTGCCGTGGATTAGCATAGCTTCCATATGCAGCAAGTATGCTAGCAAAAGTTGTGTCTCTCCGTCTTTTCCAAGTTGATTAAACATACCTTGTCGACCAATGCTACCATAACCCAATATACCCACTCTCTTCCCCACCCGATCACTGACACTCAGCCCCACCTTCTGGTCCCAAACCCTGTTCTTTTGGTTGTCATAAAGCTTAGTGTAGCTATGACTGTGCACCAAATTCATCATGATGACCCATTCGGCAATCTGCGGGCCATGAACGCCATTGGCAGAGCATAGCGGGATCTTGGAGTCAGTGTAGATTGGGTGGCTGGAAACGTGGTTTGTGCCTGCAGAGAAGAATTGGATGAGCTTGGTGTTTGGAATGGACGATGCGGATTCCGGGAGCCAGGATAGCGTCGCAATATAGGTTGCGCGCTTGATGTCGTCTGGGATGATATTAGCCACGTTGTGTAACGGGTGTAATCGCGGGAAGCATGGAAGCTCTGCAGCTGCAGATGGGTTATGCTTGTTGGACGACTGGTAACGCGCGAACCCGTCATCTCGGTTTCGATCTCTTCTTCAAAACAACCAATACTCTGCAAGTGTGTGTGTGTGTTTACTGCCAACTAACCTTCAGGTGCGTCCATCTCCGACTTGCCACTATCCCACTTGACTTGGAAGTACTTCACTTCCACATCGTCAAAAGCTTCTCTGAGAACTTTCAAGCCACGCTCGCATAGCTCTTGAGGCCAGTGCAATGCGCACAGCACAAGCTCCTTCTCTTTCGATGCATTTCGAGACGGTAAATCTGGACCTCCTCCCATCGCGACCATGCTAGCTTTAGAGACAAGTAGTGGGTGTGGACTGAGGGTCTAAAGAAGAGCTGTAAAGTCCGATATGCGAATTGATCGTGCTGGTGATGGCGAAAGTCGAAAGTCGTACCTCGTTGCTTGGTAATGACGATGGAAGTGGGGATGGAGTCGGTACGTATACCTAGGTACGCTACATGGTGGGGTATCGCCTTCCTTACCCTTCGCCCTGACCATTGAAGTCATGACGTTGTTTAGATCCTTCAAGTCTAGAACACGCACGCGTTTTTGTGCCATATGTTGCGACTCCGTTACTTAACTTTGCCAATAATGCTTTCTGGGGAAGTATGAGTAAGAGTTAGGTAGGCTCAAAGATCTGTGCCTGGTGTTATGGCAGACATGGCTATTGTGAACAATGTGTTTGTGACATCAGCGCCTGTGTTGAAGACTCATCTTGTGCGACGTTGAATTTAAGCTGATTCTAAAGTTTTAGCCACACTCTGCTATGCAATACTAGGTAATTTCGGTCTGGGATTCAGGATGTAGTGGAGTCGCCAGCCAGCAGTGGAAGCTGTCACACCACCACGCTAATTGCACCGACTGACATCCGCTCTTCTTAGGAACCTATGCACTATCAGATATTCATCACTGGCCTGCGCAAGGGCTTCCTGGCTTTAAGAGCGAACAGCGCAGTAGAGATGTGCAACATCGCAGGCCGATTTTGTTGAGTTAGTGCACGTCAGCTGTCAAGGCATACACAACATATTTCAGTGCTCATAGTAGCATGGCCATGTCGAGACATGTATTGTTCCAAGTCTGCGATGATTAGAAAGCATACTTCGTGTGGATTCTATCGGCCTTAATTATGTGTAGCAGGCTCGAGGGCGACTGGAAAGAGCCTTCAGTACGTGAACGTGGAGCTGCACGACTATCACGCCGAACTATACGAAGGGAGAGCCTGATGCTGTAGGCGACGCGGATAATAACAAATCTTTCCGCCGCGGACCGGTCCACTTCTCTTATTCAGGCGCACATGGAAAACGGAGCATGGTCGCAGAGTCTGTCAGGAGCCCTGCGTACATCTATCGCGCGCAAGCTGAAACTGAGTCGACTTTCATGCCTCGTGTGGGGCCTCAACGTCCGACTTCGAAGCCGCTCCCACAACCCATGCCTTCGTCGACAACTCTTCTATCGGACCGTCCACGACGCACCACGTAAGGCTATAAGTGCCGAAATTATCATGTCTGACAAGTCAATACATCCCGCAGATACCGACTTCGCTATCGCGTCCAGCATTTCTCCCCAGGGCACATCAGCCCTCAATCTCGGTTGCTCTTACGGCCTGCTGAGCCGAGCCGTTGGATAAATCCTGCCTCGAGACGCGCGGGCCACGCAACACCCATGTCACGTCAGGCCAACCGCTCTGCGGCCCAGATACCTGTTCCTGCAGCTCGAGCCGAGCACGCGTTCATGCCTGCTCCTAAAGAGGCGTTTCGCTATACCGATAAAAACAAGGGGCCGCTGTCAAGATGCGCCCGTGTACCCACACGTGGAAGGGGGACCTTCTCTTTCCATAACGTTCCTCCGTCGTGTCAGTCGCGTGTCTTCCCGGGGAACGATGTTCTGGAAACTGGGGCCTTTTGTTGAGGAGGATGTGCAAAGGGAAGGAGTAGTGCAGATCCATTCCCACCATGCAATGTGAATGTGATCTGATTTCCTTGCTCCTGCAGCCGCGGAAGTGGAAACAATTCTTTTCGAAAGGTGGAGTCGAAAGATTGCATCGCATTGATGGGTTCTGGTCGCTGCTGCTGGGCGGAGAGAGGTGCGGAGTACGGAGGTGTCAGGAATCTCTCTGAAAATGGTATAGCGACCCAAGGGCATGGTGAAGAATGGGGCGTAAGCACGGCATAACGCTCATTCGCTGTTATCGAGTAAAGTTCGCAAAATCCCGCGTGCGCATGTCACTACACGAAAGACTAGTCAAAGTCTGTCTTCAACACGACGTCGCTCATGGAACCGAGCAAGGGTTCCATTATCAGGGAGGAAAGGATGTGCCTCCCATCACCACGTTTTCTGGGCTGTTTCTTTTTGCTCGGCGACGTCTTCCTTGACCCTGCCAAGATCGACATATCATATGCTTCGAATTTACCCATATTACCGGTACAAGCCAGGTCCCGGCCCGTTCAAAAGCGATCGCACAACGGCATTGGACGTTCAGCCGATCCATGCGGCAGCGGACGGGTGGAGGTACGCGAGTAGAAGTAAGGTTTTCGATGCGTTCGGCTCTTAATTTACGTATTTTATTGTAGGATAGCTATACTCGCTATATATGTGAGCTATGGTAGAGCTACTACCAAGAGAAGCGGGTCTTAAGTTCGCGTGGAAGGCAAGCGTGGGAGCCGACGAGCTTGTGGCTTCGTGCGATGCTGAATCCGGTACATGCGAATGATCGACTCCGTACAAGGGCGAGAAGATCGCCTGCAATGATGATACAGGGAATGATGAGTTGCACCGAGTTCCATTCCGTGCAACGAACAGATGTGTAAGAATACAGTAAGAAACGACCCGGAGAAAGGAACTACCACGGCCTTAGCCAGGCGACAAGACTGTTGCTGTTGCAGTGACAGACTGTCATCTGCATACACACCCATGTATTCTTTCATACAAGGCGACGTGTACTGAGGCGGGTGTAATGATGCCCAACCCCTCGTTCGCCTTTGGCGATGAATCAGCGATAGAGTCTGTGAGGAGGTCTTTGAACTCTATATCAGCAGTACACCTAGTCAGAGATGCCAAGCTAGTGGTCTGACATATAGTTCAGAGACAAAAAGGGAATGGCGTCACTCATTGACATGAGAATGGCTGCGTTGAGGCTGATCCGTATCATGGTCTTGCGCAAAGACCGCGTATTCTCTGTCGCGACCCATGGCCATATGCTGGTGCATGGCCAAGTGTGCTAGTCTCGCGACTGCAACCCGCTGAACTGGGAACCTCGATTCGGCTCGCGTGTAGTGACGGGTAAATCAGACGGTTGATTTCATACCCATAGCATGATCATCCCAGATTCAGCACTTATGTGATGTGATGGAGTGTAGCGAAGGAAAATTGTTGTATTCATGCTCAGATCTTAGATTCGTAGTCTGGAGGATGCAGTCCGAGTCCTCCTCTTGCCATGGATGATCTAGGATCCCAGTCGACATGGGTAGCCGCCCGTGATTGGGGTCTTGGAGTCGAAAAGCTGAGTGTCGGGCTCTTATAGTCGCGCTGAGTCTCTTTGTGGAAATGATCCGGGGTGTCCGATCGCTCGTTTCCCATAGCGTAGCTAGCAAGTCCAGGAGTACCATAGTATGCATCTGCTGTCGATTTCGGCTCGAAGTTCTTCATTTCGAAATGGCGTACATCTTCCTGGGGATTCCTGGCGTCCAAGGATACGAATTCGCGGTTCTTACTGAACTTGCTTCTAATCAAATCTCGCCAGCCGACCACCATGCTCCATCGGCTAAGCAGGAAGAACACTTGAAGACCGGCAATGGACAGCATCATCAAGATTGCTGTCACTGTAGATTGGTCGACAGCGAGAGATTGGCCGAGTGCATAACATGGCTCTGGGCCTTCGTCGGCGTGTGTTACCAGACAAAAGACATACGGAAGGAATTTGTCGAGGTCCTCAGTAGCGTGCGATGTTACGGAGTTCAGCCAGATGAAAACGATAGAGAAGAAGATGACGTCCACGAGGATGAAGACCACGATCGTTATGCCACGCCACTGCAGGTATAGCACTTTGCGAACACGCCGGTAAACAGCTCGTGCAGATCGGTTCCGTATGCTGGTCGTGTAAGAGGGGAGACCAGCGCTGCTTTGTGTTTCGGTCTTGTCGTCGCTGAACATGTTCTGAAGGTACACCTTGATACAGTATACGAATCTGATAACGGTGTTAGCAATGTCGTCTCATTGTCTCTCCTAGGTGACTTACGTTGCGACCTGAATAACCATAGCTGCACCTGCAATGGCCAACAAGGGACCCCAAAAGTCCTTCATTGAGTGCTCGGCATTGACGTGGCAGACGTCACCGAATCTGAACGAGACTCCAGTGATGGTGATAGTGATGGTGAAGAAAGTGGCCGCGACTGACCAACCCAGACCTTGCGCCCAGTAGAAGAACTTCTGTCCCGGCGTGACGTCCCAGCAGATCTGAAGATGCATCGAGAGAGCGCGAATGAAGATCCAAACTGCCATCGACATACCTCCAGAGATGAGGAAAGCACCGGAGAAAGCACACGTCAGACTTGAGTACATATCGTTTGGGGTGATCTCATCGTAGCACTGCTCTGGTTGAGCACCAAAGGGTATTACGAAGCCAAGCTAAAGTCGATCAGCAGATACAGGCTGGGTAGGCTGAGTTCAGACTTACTGCCATGAGAATTGCGGCTATGATGAGACAATAGCTGAGATAATGTCGACGAGTCTTTTCGGCCGGCAAGACCAAGTAAGTGATGAGCAGGATGACCAGACAGATGAGACCAGCCACATTGAGCGCTTCAGCTGCGCGATAGGCGGTATTGAAACCTAGAAAAGATTAGGAACGTGAATCTCGATGTGGGCTTTCCAGGTACCTACTTTCTGGGTACAGGAAGTCTGTCAGAGGACAGGGCAAGCAGCAGATAATTTCACTGCCTGGTGTGACTGGCGCACAAAACCTTCCAGCAAGAACTATTAATGTCAGCAACTGTATAAAATCCAAATTAGACCACTTACAGCCGTCGAATCCAAATTTCGACACATCATAGAAAGGCGGCGGGCATTGTCCCCGCAACAGTGTGGTGTTGGCCATGTCGAATTTTCTTACTCTTCTCACCAAACGAACCGAAGCGTTCAGTTAATATGCAGCATGAGAGTCCTTCCAGCGGTGATCCCCACTCTTGTCCGAAGTGCGATGTAACAGGGTTATAGGCAGTACGTGGACCCTACCGGCAAGACTGTCTCTGAGCTTCAGTCAAGCGCGGACGTGGGCTGGTATAGGATGGCTTCTTGGAAGACAATGCCGTGTAGATGAAACTGGTGACAGTATAGGCAGTGTCAGGCGGAACGGATGTCGCAGATGAGAAAACGAAACGATTGTGGAGTGAGTTGGTTGCCGTTAGCTCGAACGCGGAGAGTCTAAAGAGTGAATAAGGTTTTGGTCGGATTAAGGGCGCGTAGGGCCGAGCAGATGCAAAAAGAACGACGGGACGTTTTGGCAGAAGTAAGAAAAGCCGTCACGGCATGAGAGCGAAGCCGCAGTGATGCAGGAAGACGGCCTGGTCTTGAATGTGGCTCCTGGTTGGGCGGCCTGGGGGTAGGTCAAGTGGGTGCGGCGATCCAAAAGGGAACGGACCATCTTCACCCCTGCAGGTACACTTCTCCCCTGGTTTAGCGCGGCCTCACCCCCAGAAGCTTAGTGGCCAAGACATGCGAGGACGGCTAGGATTCGTAGCAGAGGGCGGGTCTGCAGACATGGATTACGGTTGGGTTCAGGAACAGGGCTCGCATGCGCAAGGACACTGGCTCGAAGGAGCCGAAGGCAGCACGGTCAGCTCGCATGTCTTTTCCCAGCTCGTGCATCGTGATTCGCGACAATGGACAAAGGGCTTCCCACACCGAAGCGCGACAGCATCCAAGACGGCATCCACGGGCGTCTAGCAAAGATCTTTGCGGCGTAGTAGCTCGCAGAGGTTGAGATTAAAAATCACCCCTTCCAACAGGATCCTTTTGTGGAGAGGCCCAAATCTTCGGTTCTGGTGGTGTTGCGATGGAGTCGAGACTCGACAGGCTGCCTGCAGGATTGGCTTTCCAGCCACCACGGATCTGCGAGATTGCTGCTGACTGAACGCCCAGCACTGATGCTATCGCGAGCCTTCTCGTACAGAACTGTCTGGCGCGTCCAATTGACTATCGGCAACGACCCTCCGAGAACCGTTGAGGAAATCAATAGCTCGCTACAAGTGGTCCCGGGTCATCGTTCACAATCCCTAGCGGTTCATCACTGACGTCCGGTGGCGGGAAGCCCAACTGCCCTCGATCCACTTGGTCATCATGAAGAGTGGCCATCGATCGAGGTCTCCTGCTGTGGGACTGTGAACCGTTCAGCTTGCCTGTGCCTGCTCTGCCGGTTGGAGTAAGCAAAAAAAACGCGGGAGGCACAAACTGTCCCATAAATCTCCGGTCTGACACCTGCGTTGAGAGCCTCGATCGTAAGCTGCACCAACCAGGCTCCGGTGAGCACTGGGTGGCGTAGTCAGCTCTGCAACGTCCGGCGGTTTCGAGCACTCTTTCCCGCGTTAGCGCCGCTTGGTGGGGTTCCCCAACAAACGCGTGCCGACGCGTAAAAACTTCTCGTTGTTTTGATCGGGTCACGATACTGACTCGATTAGGACAGGCTTCGTCATTGTGATGCTGCGCCGCTGACTTGCTTGTGGACACGAGTTTGTGTTGTCCGAACGTTGGATGAGGTCTGTCCACGGGTGGCAGGTCGGCACGTGTCCTGACCCTGTCTAGGTATGACGCACGAACCGACCATCCCAACTCGTTCCCAAACCATCTATGGATGTCTCAAGTATAGCATTCTCTCGCAGTGACCTGCTCTTGATGCACCCTCATCGCGCGATGATTTCTGGCTTTTTCAACTGGCTTGTGGGAAGGGCGCTATGCCTCAGAAACAGTGTGGTCCGTCTGAGGTAGCGAGACGGAGAACGCGCATTAGCCCTGCACTGTGCCTGCAGAAGCCCCGTCGCCTTCTTAGGCATCGTTCAGACTGGAGACGCACAAAACTCTGATTGGCGGACATTTCAGCAGACTTCTTCTTGGTACATGTTGACCCGTAATCACGAACCACCGCTTGGAAGGCAAGATGAACCCGAGCCGCTGTCGTGCCGTTTGGATTCGTGGGGAAGGGAGGAGCTGGAGCAAGTTCAAACGGTTCGGTCGTCTTGGTTCCGCCACTCTACATGTGCCTAGGCTCACGAAACCCGCGTAGAAGTATCTATCCCAGCATACTAATCATTAGCCTTCTGCCCTGCAAGGAGACCGTCGTCGCCCGAAGTCACCAACTGCCTGGTTCAGACTACTCTGTCTCGTATAACCCAAGGACCTGGCTTGCCACGTCTGATCTACCACGAGCTACGCATCCCATGGTTCTGCAGAACGCTAAGAGACGCTACAATCACTTCACACCATCCGGAGCCTGCACGAGCAAGTACTTGCGACCCAAATAGAACCCGAAGAACGCCTCGTTTGTGGGTCAGTATGTGTAGAGGCGGTAAACCATCGCGATTGGGGAGCTGGTCCGAACTAGAACGTCACAATCCTTCGAAGCTTCTGAGAGTAGTCGGCCCGTAGTCAGATCAGTACATGTGTCTCGGGCCTGGACATATTGTGACTACACGTCTACACTTCGGTAGGTTACATAACAAGACGCCCTTGAACTGCGTGCTCTGATACTCGTATCACGGCCTGCCAGGCCTGCGGCTGATGTCTCAGAATCACTCGGCAGGCGGAGTAATCGTTCTCCGCATGAACCAAGGAACGTACCCTGAGAGCGGCAGCCTTACCAGCCGTGTTTCCAAGCACTCGATGCCAGCATGCAAAGGATAAAATATGATTGGCATCCGTTAGGCATTATCGATGTCCGCACACAATTGTGATAACCTTCCCACCTCATACAAGGGAAAACCTGAACACCCTGGAGCCTACGTTGACGTACCGCTACCTACTTTGCATGTTTTTATCCTGATGTAGGCTCCAGGGTGTTCAGCTTTTCTCTTGTATGAGGTGTTCCGGAAAAGGCATATCAACAGGCGACCACTATGACCCAGGAACAAGACGGCATTGAGCCGTCGATATCTCATCTCGATAATACGATCAGCTCGCCATAAGTACGCCATACCTCGAAGCGACGCACGAACCCATGTTAACTATGCATTACCTCCAGCCCTATAAGCTCGCGTCGATGAACCCGTCAAGCCTTATCGCCATATGCGATCTTTTATACCTAGGAAGAAAGCAATCCATCGACATACTAGCTATATCTATGAGTGAAATGTAGGTCATCCCGCTTCTCCCTCCACATTACGACTCTTTCCAAGGGTCTCGAACTTGGACCAAGAAGCCGTCTTCCAATGCAACCCTCGATGTGGTGGCGGGTATGGCGTTTGTTAACGGGCGTGGCTGTCGTTTTGGGGTCGATGTCCGGACGGGGATGCTGGGACTTCGAGCCACGAGCCGCATTGCCTTCGCTTATGCTTGCGATGTGGTTATAATGAATGTATACTATTGCTTGACAACTACATAATGGTCTTGGGGACATAATCATCTGGCATTCAGCTATCGGGACTGGAAATGAATTCAGCAGTGGCGAGGAGTAGAGGTCTACCCGAGACTCTCGTACGTAAAGCGCTGCTGGCGTCAGATCCTTCGCCCCATTTACCAACGTTACCGAGTGCTTGGGTGAGCGCACACACGGGACGTTCACCAGGATTGCAAGCCAATCCGTTGACACGTAATGATGTGAGGGAAGATCGGTGTGCAAAAGTGACCGCCCGTGTTGCCGCAAAAGCAAGTCGTGGCCCACCGGAAGGGTCTCGACGTCCCGGGACGGCACGCTTCGTTGATGCGATTGGTAACGTTGACGCTGGAGAATGTCATTGGTTCATTCGGAGGTTTCTCTCAGAAGAAAAGCAATTTGGTACTGTGATGTGGCTGGCGTATGATCGTCCGCCATTTATCGAGTACAACGACCTTGAGTAATGCCAACCACATGGTTACTGTCACTGTCACTCTGCACTGGCAAAATTGGCAAAATTGGACAAGAAACGTTACATCTATCTGTATCAACAGATACGAAAAGTAAGGAATTTTGTGTACATTCAGCTCCCTCTGACCCCTACAAACTGCCAGAAGGCAAACGACACTTTATAGCTTTTTGGTCTTCTTTACATCGACTATAGTGCGAAACCCAACACCTCGTTTATCAGGTACATACATGGATACAAAAAGAACAGTTCTCTGACTCATACATAGCCTAACATTTCTCCAGTTCCCCAGATTTTTGTCACAATGACTCGGACATGCGTGAATAGCCTGCTACGTGTGAGTAGGTACACGTTACAGTCGCTTCCAGGAAATTCCAGCATACCAACCGATGGCCGTAGAGCAAAGCCGTAAATGTTTGCCAAAACGCGCCACGGAGAAATTCCAAATTTTTGTTGATACAAGATGAAGCCAGAAGAGTCGCTACTCGCAAACAGATCGGATGCGAACACGCTGCATTTTAAAGTGTCGCAAAGAACCAAAAGCCGAGGATAAAGCAGTAAGATGACTCGTGGAGACGTCAATGGTCGTTAGATGGAGCGGGCAGGGTTCTTCAGTAGCCCTTTCCAGTCCCACCCATGATACGGTCCTTGGTAGACTTCTGCTTGGACTCCTTGGGTTTGTATACGGCATTGGATTCATTCGCAGCGATCTCAGCTTCGAGCTTCTGCTGAGCCTCGTGGAGTTTGCGTTGGCGACTAGCTTCCCACTGCTCAATGTCCGCCTGGGTGAGGGTGATGGTGGTGGGTGTGCGTCGGAGCATAGCGATGATGTTGGGTTGTGGATTGAGAACGTGGAAAGATATGCGGATGCGCTGAAAGTAGCACAGAACAGGTCTGTATAGAAGACTGTGTTTGAAGTAGAGGCTGATGGAAGTAGTGATGTGTGTTTGTTGTTGATGTTATCCCGGTTTTAAGTGATGCGGCGTTGAGGCAGACTGCAGTTGAGGTGGGATGCAACAGTATGTTTAAAGAATGACTACAGTTTGTGTAAAGGAGCCCAAAAGAGTGGCGACCGAAGAGTCGGGCTGCAGGTGGTGTAGATGAGTTGCGATGAAAGGGTCGAGGGTGTGGTTGAATTGGAGTTACAGTCACGCGCACGCGACACGAAGAACGTGCTTTCAAAACAAAGCTTAGCTCTTTTGAGACGAGATGACTGGAGTACGATGAATGTGTCGCGGAACTGTCACTGCGCCCTTTGTCGGCGGAGTGAGAGCGGAGCACGTGGTGCGGAGGCCCAGCGGGCAAGATCCCTGTCTGCCAAGACATCGCGATCTTGAACTTTTGGAGTTTGGAGTGACGGTGCCGAATGCAGCCATCCACACAGCATGGCCCAGCGACACATGTGCCCTTCAATGGGTGCCTTACGGCGCTCATTAGCAGCGGACGTATCAACTCTGCCCAAGTGCTCAGCGAGGGCACTCCACAGCACCGCGAAGAGACTGGAAGAGCAACCCAGCGACGCAGCATCTCCAGCCCACCGTACGCCTTGAAAACGCTCAATGGCCCTGTCAAGTCAATGCTGATAGATATTCAGCACCAAATACCCGTAAAGCCCGGCAAGCGACGGCGCTCAAGCAAATCACCTCGCTCCAAAATCGCCGCATCCAGCCCGGCGCACTCGCACGAGGCTCTTTCCCCAGCGGCCAAACGGCACGACGAAGTCCGGGCTCGCCTTCTCCTCAAACCAACAAAGATGGCTTCATCCCCGAAAGCAATGCCCCCGCCGATGCGCAGCCAGACGCGAACCCCCGCTTCGCCCGCAACACAGCGCGCCCAACGACGACCCGCGGCTCCACCCCTCCCCAGGGCCAGATGGTCCGCGCCCCCTCTACCCTGCGTATAACCCGCGAAAAGGTTGATGGCCCTGCTCGCGGGCCTGGTGGTCCACGAGGACCCAACCTCCGTGGGCCCAATCTACGTGGCCGCGAAGGCGGTAGACCAGGACCAGGTGGAAAAGGTCGCGCTGGTGCGGCAGGTAACAAGGGCAGCGGAGGAGGCCCCAAGAAGCGCGAGAGGAAAGCCGGCGGCGACGAAAGGATGGGCACTAAGCTCGCGGATATCAGGCTTGGCGATACGGTCTCGGATAGCATGAAGCAGCAGCTCCTGCGCCTGCAAAGGAAGGAGTGGGATCGCGTGGCTTATGAGCCCAAGTACGCCAAGGGCAGTTTTGCGGCCAACGAGCTGATATACGCTGGACGGGAGCTGTTCAAGGGTGAGGCGCCACCAGTCAAGATTTGGGGACCTTTGGAGAGGAGGATTGGCGTTGTGGGCATGTTTGGAGCCGAGGCAACGCTCAAGGTTCGCAGGGTGCTTGATGGGGATGCGGAGCCGTTTGGGCAGGAGATACTTGAGGAGGAAGGACCAGTCGAGGTCAGCGGTGCAGAGAAGAAGCAGGCGGCTGTACAATAAAGGGCCATGGATATCTGTGTTGTAGCTGTACACTTACGGACACCAAAGACACATGATAGCATACCGTGCGATTGCCATTTCCCTTGCATGGCATCGATTTACATGTTGTGCAGCATATTTACGTTGCTCTGACGGGCGCGATGTGTCCCGCAGGATCATTCCACCGGCCTCCCCCTATCAGGTAGCTCAATGCGACTGAGCCCCGATACCTACTTGGATGCCCATACGACCTTGTACTTGAACTGGGTGGGGAAGCTTCTATCCGTGATGAGCAGCTCCTCTCCCTCTTCCACCAGGTCGACCATCTTCTTCTCTAGATTGGGTCGGGTCTGTTCTTCGAGACCTGCGAGCTGCATGTAGAGTGACTTCTCGCCTGTACGAATGGAAGGCTTCTTGAGTTGACTGGGTAGGTCAGTATACTGTAGACAGAGTTGGGGATGTGAGATCAGGATTGGGGTACATACGCTTCTGGTCGCTCTGCCAGTCCCTCAATGAACTCCTGCAGCGTGATACCGGGAAGAACTTGAAGAGGACGAGCAATGTTACCAGCGCCACAGACGGGACAGTCATCTTTCTTTTGGTGCTCGAAGGTATACGTGTATACCGAGTCATCACCAGTATACATCATGTAGTTGTCCGTGCCCGGGAAACCCATGAAGGGAGCGGTGTTGGTCGCCACCTTGAACGCTTCGTTGCAGCAACTGGCTGCTACTATGGCGTTCGTACTCGCGATGGCCGGAATAATGTTCTTAACGACACCTTGCGTCATGCTGTAGGTAACACCTTCGATGTTGAACTCCTTGGCACGAGCGGAAGCCTTGTTGAACAGCCAGGTGATGTGCTCCGGGTCGTCGGTGTCGAGAGTTATATCTTTGCGCTCCTCGTCCCAGGCGATGATATGCGCCCACTCGATACAATGTTGTGGTTGACGTGGAATAGTAGCAAGTGTGCAAAGAGGGACTGCCGCGCGAGGAGCGTGCATATCCAGTTGGCACTCGATGCATGAGGTCATGGTTGGGAAGATGACACGTGCTTGGCCCTTGAAACCCTCTGTTCCTCCGTCGATTAACGGCTTCATCGAATCCGGGTCATTCTCATCCACCATCCCCACCAAAGTTGCGTTGATCCATCGTCTCGCTTCTATAGAATCCAGACCGCATACGATGAGACCGAATTGCATGTAGTAGCTTTCGTCCTTGTCCTGGATTTTGCCACAGTAGGGAGTGATCTTGACGCCCCTTACACGCTTCTCGACGAAAGCAGCAGCTGTTTCGGCCTTGTATTTTCCCACATCCGAGGCGCGGAATAGGAACTGTCGGTTCAGGTTGCTGACGTCAATGGTGTCCATATCGATAACGTGAATGTCTTTGAATCCGGATAGGGCAAGATTCTTGAGGATTTCGCAACCTAGACCACCAGCTCCGCTAAACGATAATTAGTAAAGATGCGACATGAGGGGCGGTCGTGCATTATCATCGAGTATTGGTATAAACGTACATGACGCTGCAAATGGTTAGCTATGACACCCTGTGCTTCGGAAAAGTAATATTCTTACAGAACTTTGAGATTACTCAGATACTCGATAACTTGTTCGCCGGCCATGAAAGCTTCATCATCTGTGAACGGGCCCTTGCGAGTAAGGAAGTTGTCCAGGTACTTCCTATTGCGTGCTATCAGTCAAGAGCTCTGACCTTTCTCATTATCCAGCTTACCATCTCGCTCGCGGGCTGCTTGTCGATGCCGCACTCATGTTATCGATGCTGACAGCCATCCTGTAGAAATGTGTGGAGAACGACTGTTGGCAGAGTCAAGGGCAGCAAACGGTGGTTGTAAGCATCAGAGCGTAGACGGTCTGCCAAGGCGCTAGTCTGTGGGCCCTCGCATGGGGAAGGAAACACCGATTGGGTAAGGTCCACTGAGCGTCTGCCTTTCGCATTGATCACGAATAGAGCAGGAACAACGACTCGCGTTTCCGTTGGATTGGTGTGGGTATACACGCCTGGATACCTTTTCTAAACGCCATGGCCGACTTTCTCACGGCCGTATCCACCAGGAAAGTCAAAAAGGAAGAACCTCTCATTCAGGAAGTCAAGAGCTTGAGCATACAAGAAGATGTAGTTTCCATCAACTCGACAGAATCAGCGCTTGAGGCACTCAAGAGCCAACCCAGCCGCAACACCGTCAATGCCGTTTTGAGCTATCTTACCACAGAAGGGTTCAGCCTCATACTACCAGAACCACTCAACGCAAGCATCGCGCATCAACTCATCAACGACACCATTCCGAACTACTGGAGAACTATCAAGGACGCCGACGAAGTTTCAAAGCTCGAGAAGATACTCCGAAACCCAACATGTCTTGGACATCTTAACACGAGACTTCGTTCGCTAGTTGCAGATAGTCACCAAAAGAAGGCACCTGGCGAAGCGAGAAACACAGCTGAGCACATTGCGGATGCTCTCCAAGTCTTAAGTCTGGTGTTAAGCCGCGACGAAACATCCCATCTCGTGTTGCAAGACGTTTTAGCGTTTGGGAAAACCCCAATACAAAGAAAACTTATCTGGAGAGAGTACATCACGCAGGTCGCTTCCGGTCGATTACTATCAATGGCAGCGGAGGCCGAAGATGTGCTCAAGAAGAGTGATGAGGCCCACCAAGACGCAAACTGGGTCGCGGATGGCAAGCAGTATGCAGCGTGGTTGGGACGCAATATCGCCGTCTCGCTCGAGCGCAACTCAAATAACGAGGAGTATCTTGCCGCCATTGTTGAGTTATGTTCGAAATCGCTAGGATTGGGTTACACTGGTACGTCAAAACTCTGTCGAGGTCTGTTGCTACATACTGACGATACAGATGATATCATGAGCGCCCTTGTTCCGACATTGATAGGTAGCGGGGCCATTGCGCGCCTGACCGATCTTTTGTCCCAGATGAAAACGTTCGAGCAACGGAAGTATCTCAACGCTATAGTTGCATTCGTGGCCAAGAAGTATTTTGGTACGGAAACTATTAGTAAAGACGACGCCCCCGTTGCAACCTCTGTCACCATAGCATCTGCCGCCGCTCTGTTTCACATGCTCATCAAGGATAACGACGTCCTAAAAGAGCAGCTCGTGATATCACTTACGCGGTCAACGGTTCCTGCGCTTGACGACTCTCTATCAGCCAGGCGGAGTGTTCTGGCCGCTTTGGCCAAAGACGAGTGTCCGTGACTATCATACGCCCATGGATAATCAAGACTGACGATATCTAGACAAGCTATATACTCTTCTGGAGGGTCTCATAAAGATGTTTGGCGATTCAGTATACGTCAGGCACACACCTGTGCTGCAACAAGAAGGTATTGCGTATTTGCACTGTATCGCTATACCTCACTAATATACTCTAGCGCTTTCTCAGACCTTAGCCATATGCAGTGGCTATGTAAAGCGTTCCCAGCCCATGTTCCTCACCATGATGGCAAAGTCAACCCATCACGTCAATGGCATGTCAAATCGCATAGGAGCGGCATCTACAAGGGCCCGATTTCTAGGCATCGCAGTTGGTGTTGCTATCTCGAAGATGGTGGACAACCCTGAACTTCAACTTAAGTTGGAGTTGGAGGGTAGCGAGGCAGAAGAAGCAAGCTGGTATCAACGCCTTACTGAGGTCGACGATAAGATTGGAGAAGTCACGAATCTTGCCACTAAACAGGATACTGTGGCGAGCACGAAGAGAGTTCAGTCGAAGCCCAAGCCGCCTCCCAAGGTATCCAAAGCTTCCGGTATTACCGAGATACAAGGCCCAAGGGTCATAGAGGTCCTGTCTGATTCCGAAGACGAAGACGCAGACCTGATGGTGTACGAGAAGCCAGACTCCGACCCAGAAGACGATACAGATGATGCAACGGCTATAAACCGTAACAAGCCCACCGCGCCGGTCTACATCCGAGACCTGATAGCAGGGCTGCGTGATCAAGAAAACTACGATCGCCACGAACTCGCTTTAGCCACAGCAGCATCATTGATTCGCCGAAAAGCGAACTTTGGAACTGAAGTCATCGATCATCTCGAAGAACTAGCCACTTTGCTTACGGGATTGCAAGACAACTCGGAGCTTGAAGGTTTCGCGCAGCAACGGCAACAAGCCTTGATTGCTGTTCTTCTCGCGAAGCCAGCGCAGATGGCACAATGGTTCGCTCGATCTTTCTTCTCCGGTGACTACAGTCTACAGCAACGCATCGCCATGCTCACGACTCTCGGCCTGGGAGCGCGTGAGTTGGCGGGCATGAAGGACACATCGACCGACGATTTGGTGCCTGCAAAGCCTGACTTCCCTAGCAAGCAGCTTCCGCCACACCTCCACGAAATGTACGCCGAGGATAACAAGGCACCCACAGTAGCCAAGATCTCAAGCAGCATGGTGCGTGAGATGCTATCGCCTATGGCTAGTCAAGCAGCCGATCAGCTCAGCGGCCCGAACATACTCAAAGTCCGAACTTTCTCTTCGCGCATGGAAGTTGAGAAGAAGCGACACAAGCCAATACCCAACGCGCTTGCGCAGATTGTGGCAGATAACTTCTTCTTCCCCCTCACGGGTCGTTGGTGGCTGCAGATTCGCGCGAACAACGACTCGATATATGCGTCTACTCACCTTCTCCCACCATTTCTGCAGACTCTGTCGTTGTTGCTCAACGCGTCGGGCCCGAACACGCTCGCGTTGCCGCAGATGACGCGCGAGTATTGGGATCTGCTACTGTCGGTGCGCGGGCTGGCGAGCAAGGATAAGAATATCCTGAACGCGGTTTTATTCGGCTTTCTGATGTTGTTGGAGACCAACGAGAATAAGGAGCGAGTGGCTACGGAGCAAGGCAAGGAGCTTATGGAGACGCAGGCCTGGGTAAGGATGGTATTCGAGGGTCTAGGAGCGGGGAGCGAGGAGGACGAGAGGGTGCGCGTGTTGGCTGCTGGCGTGGTGGTTCGTTGCCAGGAGGTGATTGAGAAGTATCAGAGGAGGTTGGCGGGTGAACTGATGAATTATTAGCGCGTATGTAAAGTTGGTCGAATACTAGCTGTGAACTGCGACTCTGAGCGACCGACGAGGTGATACCTGGAAAATTCAAAAATTTGGCCAGACTGCACGGTGACCGAACGATAAATATACGTTGGGTAGAAAGATACATCGGCTTGGGAACTGTCGACTCAACGCGATAGAATACAATGTATCCATCAAAGTGATGTAAAATTCTTCTTCCTCAAGACACTGCATAGAGCAATGTCATCAATGAAAAAGCAACACAGATGTGTGACCAGCAAAAATTGCCCCGCCGAGATTCCCGAAGGAAGCTCGTGAGAGCCCAGTACCGCGTTGTGCAATGCAGACCAGGCGCTCAGATTAACCCAATCTTTGAGCTGGGTAATCGCAAGAAGGTAAGTATGCAGGATTACCATAGGGAACCGAACAGAATAAATAGACAGCAGCACTTGGCACGCTAAAGATCACGTGACAAAACACAGACGCTTTAGAGAGGCTTTATGCTCGCTTAACGGCTAGACTCCGGGCGCTGGGTGGTGTCCGAGCTGTGAAGTTCTCTCACCCAAATCTTCTTCACTGCTTGTCATTGCATGCCATGACAGGCATGTTCCAGAGAAAGGTACGTTCAGCGCTCTCAATTTATACACCCCCTTTCCTATGATGATCCAAAACAACCTTAGAACCGTTGCGAATGACGCCTTCGGGCGGTTGACTTCACCATACCCTTTACTGAACCACCCTCTATCGCAACTTATTACAAAGCATTGTCAGCGACTTGTAGCTAACAAGACAAAGGAACCATGAGCCGCCCAGTCCTCAGCTTTCTCCGCCCATACCTTCACCAGGCTAGTCGCTCCGTTAAACCGGAACATGCTCGAGCGTACCTCGCTATTCAGCGGCGCTTTGCTCAGAGCCTAGCCGCCGATGCATACACAGGCCCGCATGACGTAGAGAAGCAGAAGCGCCTGGAGCACTTGGGCAAGGTAAAGCCGTTGGGCGACTACCACCCCAGGTTGGTTCACTCTGCGGATGCTCAAAACTTGTCGATACGCGACTTCAACGCCAAGTACGATGGCATCCAGGAGACGAAGGAGGACCTCGTGTCTGTGTTTGGTAGGGTGCACCACCCATGAGCACCATTCTGGTTCTGACAATGTCAGGAAGGGTGCGCTCCGTGCGGCTGCTCGGCTCCAAGTTGATGTTCCTCGACATTGAACGCGACACCCAGCGACTGCAAGTCATGGTGGAGCTCAAGAAGCTCACGCCGCAAGACGGCTTAGATGAGAACTTCAAGAGTTTCAAGAAAGTCGCCAGAATTGGCGATTGGGTGTGTAAGTAGATAAATTATTTAGCTTCAGATCAGACTCTGATTCCGCATAGCTATCAAAGGCAACCCTATGAAGACATCTACTGGACAGCTCTCTGTCCTTGCTCTTGATGTACCTCAAATCCTCGCACCATGCCTTCACCACCTCCCAGAGAGGATTGACGATGCCGAGACACTTGCCCGACGACCGCACATCCACGCGCTTACGAGCGACGAGCCTGGCGATGTCCTTCGATTGCGAGCGCTGATCTACGACTACGTGCGCACATACTTTATACAAAGTGGGTTTCTGGAAGTGGAGACTCCCATGTTCGACGTCAACGCTGGAGGTGCCATTGCGCGACCCTTCGAGACTGTCGCAAATGAAGTGTCCAACACCCCTGTACGGCTTAGGATAGCACCTGAGCTCAACCTCAAGCGGTTAATTGTTG